GGTACCTAGTACTTACCCAAGTTAGCAAGACACCTGGAGGGAAAGTAGAAAAGCAGAAAAACATAAAAAAAAAAAAAAAGTGGAAATGGGTCCACGGAATCAAAGGACCTGGAACCCTACCACCTCATCATTGATGTGCACGGGGAGGAATATATACATACACATGCACCGCACATATTGTATAGCTCGCTCTCCATTCAAAGTCAGGGGAAATTCCCGAAAACAAGCTTGCTTCTAACATTTGAATGTCAAAGAAGACAAATACAGGTTTTCTGTCCTTTCACTTTTGCATCCTCATCATGGCGTGATCTTATCTTCTTTTTCTTGAAGGCGGGTGGGTGGCCTAGACAATACTTTACCAGCATGTCACAACAACTACCATGTGATAGAATCTGAATTCTTAGACGGCATCTAGACCCTGCCTAACTAACACCCACAATTAGCCCACACATTTATACTCCGTCCTTCCGTAGGTATCCATCCATACCACACACAGTACCTAGATAGGTAAGTTCTAGTAGTTACCATAGCAGCGATCAGTCATTCTCCATCCATCTGTCCATCCACCCATCCACGCGCGCACACACACAGACACACTCTATTGTGTCTACTTTGTCCCGGATACATACACACATACATACATACATACATACCCCAATAGCGAAATCTCCCCTCCCTGAAGTAAAAATCCTCTCCAAATCCCAAAGTACTGCTAATCCCTCCCCATCCATCCTTGTTTTCATTCGTGCATTTGCACATGCATAGTACATACACATACACACCCACGTATATATATGATATATATGTAAGTAAGTATGTGTGTATGTATGTATGTTTGATTTGCCATCCCCAGCCCCAGCCCCAGCCCCCTACATCATACACATCATCTCCACAACCCTCCTATCACAGCATATACATATACATAATACATAATACAGCATACATACTACATACATATACATATAATATAAAGCACGGGATGTGAGAACAAAAAGAAACTCATTATATTTATCCTCGCAAGGGGGCGGGGGGAGGAGATGCTAGTGTGATTTGGGGTATATTATAGTACGACTTTGAAATGTCTGTATCGGTTCTGGTTCTCATCCTGTAAAGTGATGCAAGTACATGAATGGGATATGAATAATCTAAGTAGTGCTTGTGATATGTATGTACTATTTGTTGGATTAGGATGATACTTCCTAGTTCCTTTGGAAAAAGTGAATCGTAGGAGCAGGTTTCCAATGGGAGTCAATTGACTGCTGTGCTGGACTTATATGCCACTCGTTTGTGTTTCTGTCTCTTTGTATCCGGGGAGGTCAGTGTTTCTGGGGTATATGGTATGGTAGTAAGAGGTGGGAGGTGGAGTTGTTGAAGCATGGTTTCATCATTGGGGTTGCTTATACGCTTGGTGGAGGCATGGTTGGTCCAATGACGTGGATTGATGTTGGGAGGATCATATGAACATTGGCTTCATTGAGTTTACAGGATGCAGGAAATTCCCTCCGCATTGAAATTATAATAATATTAGCGTGAAAGAAGGTTTATCCTTAACAATAGCAGACTTCCGAATTCCAAGCCCGAGCACGAGTGCATGTATGTAATGATAGTGACAGAAATCATCTGTTAAGAATTACATTAATGATAATGACAAACACAACACGTATCGAACCAATTCAGTCCCAGGATATGATATCGGACGCGATCTTCTCGGCAAGCATGTCTAAGACTGTCAGCAGCGAATGGGATCCTGGGATTGAAGGCCACTTACAGACTATCGATTGTGGATGTCCCGGAGGCAAAAATGGGAACGCACTGGCATCGACCACTCTCAGTCCATCAACTCCGAATACTCGTGCCTGGCTGTCAACCACAGCCATTGAGTCGTTGCGTACACCCATCTTGCACGTACACGAAGCATGATATACTGTCATAAGGGTGTCCTTAATCACTTCTAGTATCTCCGAATCAGTCTGGAACTCCTCCCCGGGAAAGTATTCTTCCCCGTCCATAATCGGTTCCATCCCCGGACTCTGAAAGATCTCGCGATTCCTTCGATAAATCGCAACAGCCACTTCTTCATCTGTTTTGGTTGCAAGCCAGTTGGGGTTGATTAATGGCAGGTCGTCTGTGTCGTCTGAAATGATGGTGACATTGCCGCGGGATGTGGGTGCGACTAATGCTCCGGCGATTGACGCATACTGTGCCCCATCTTGCGGTTGGTGTTTGATAGGATCAGAGAAATCTCCAAGATAGAGAGCCACTGGAATGTACTTCAAGGGGTCCACTGTTAGCCATGCTCAAAGTCCTCGTGCAGAGAGCATACCTCTATCTCAGGCCAGCCAGGAGGGAACCAGGATAGATCCCGGATCGTCTCATCGGAGAATTGAGACCTGAGTTCATCTGGGACCTTCTCAAAAGCTAAGAAATCAATTCCCTGGGTTGTCAGTGGACCAGTACGATTTGCTAAATACTGGACAACTACTTCAGTTAAGTAAAGAAAGTCAGTAGCAATCCTGGTGCTTGTTGGAAGCGCAACTCGGTAGGCAGGCCCGAAGAAAGCATGATCCCACATATTTTGCCCTACTCCGGGAAGGTCAACAATAACCTCAATACCATGCTCTTCCAGCTCACTAGCTGGACCAATTCCAGACACCATCAGGAGCTGAGGGCTCTGAAATGCCCCGGCTGACACTATGACTTCCCGGGTGGCTCGCAATATATATATCAAGTCCCCGGTCCTTACCTCCACTCCGGTAGCTCGCCTTTCTGTGTTGATGAGTATTCTCTTTGCCATTGTCTTTTTGTACAGTGCTAGAGTCATTAGGCGTGGTATTAGAGAGCTTTTGAAAGCGGCCTCTGAACTACTTCGGATCTTCTTGTGTGGGTCGATGGTTAGAGCACAATACTGAGCGCCCAGTAGAAACCCGCTGTTGAAGTCCTCAATCTCCGGAATGCCTACAGACTCCATACCGCGCTTGATCCAGCTCGAAAACGGTACGGCGAAGTCAGGGTAGGATACCTGCAGAGGCTCGCCCCGTTCATCAAACGCACCCAAATTGAACGCTGCTGTGGCATTGCTATGCCGTATGTCGTTGTTGGGCGGAGTGAAGTTAGCCGTGCGTTGGAAGAAAGGGAGAATTCGGTCAAAAGTGTAGCTATTGTCGTCAACGAGCTCAGCCCATCTTTGCATTGCCTCTCTATTCGGCCTAGCCCCAGCTCATATTAGCTCTGCCCTCCGTGAACTGCCCGGCGAGTGATTTCGAACCTTTGATAGACCATCATATTGGATCCTGTCCTGTAGAGGGGTCAAAAGGATCAGCGTTGCCCATACAGAAATGAAGACGAAAGTGAGAGACGAAGTGAGCTTACGATCCCCCCAGACATTTGCCTCTGGGGTAATGAAGGTCGCGATAGTTGGCTCCCGGAACATTGTAGGCGACAAACCGCCAATCCACGGGTGTCGAGCTGTTCACATCGCTCCCTATGCCTATGATCCCAGCTCCTGGAACCGCAGCTAGGGGATATTTGAGCTCGTAGAAGTCTCCCGCCTCAACCAGAGCTACTCTGTATCTATGTTGTGCGAGACGAGCTGCCAAAGTTAAGCCCCCAGCTCCGGCACCGACAACCACGTAGTCGAAGGAGGCGTCTAGCCCCGGGACACCTTGCTCGGCATCGTCCAGATAATCTTCCGAAATTCCTAACGCAGTGGTAGCAATGGCCAATAGGACAAGTATCCAGGTCGTAAGGGAAGACATCCGACCAAGGCACATATGGAGAGAGCAGGCGTTTGGCGAAAGAACGGGCCTTTCAGACATCCGAGGCATGTTCCTGATCGTTAGACCTATCACTGCATCCCACTGAAGCCCACGGAATAAGTATACATAGAATTTCAAGAAATAAGAACGATGAAAGAAATGATTGAGAAGAATGGCGCGGTACTTTGGGAAAGATGTAGTTGTATCACAGCGGGGAATCCATTGGTTCCTGCCGGATGAGGAAAGAAAATACCACTGAATGACCTGTTCCTGCGCCATGCAGTGACATCCAACGACCAATGAACGGTATCGATCCGGTCAGGTATAGCATGATCATTCCTCCCAGCATCTTGCCTGTTATTCAAGAAGCTGTTGACACCCATATTTGCAAGGACAAAGACAGCCAGCGCATTCTCAGAGCCGAAGAATCCAGACCTGATGCGAACTGCGACTTGAGGCGCACTGCAGATTGACACCAAAATGTTTCCTTCAAGCTCTCAGGCTCCATTCCCTCATCGTTGGTGATATTGTGGTGTTCAATAACTATCCCTTTATGGCGACGTTCATCCCCCATATCACAAGGGAACTTTCGCATCCATGCTGATATCCCACTTCTTCACACGACCCCCCCCGACTTTCTGTCGGCTTCCGAAGCTCCAATCAGCAGCGAATCAAGTCGGCTCGCATCCCAGCAGGGGAGGGGAAAGAACCGATGATATGGTGCAGGATGTGGAACCAACACGAAGGTTCAACGTATGACAGGATAAGGGAAGTTGATTTGGCAGGAATTAGACGATTTTCGCAGATAGGGCAACATTGAAATATCTAACGTGATTCACTTCCCTTCGGTCTTGCGAGCAAGACAAGATCCATAGCTTCAATCATAACCTATTATGTCGTTTCGAATGTGTATTGATCATGACCGATAGTTTCCCCGAGAAAGCTCTGCCAAAGACATGTATTCTCTTCAACTCGAAAGCCGGACCAAAGATCGAGGAAATGCTTCACCGTATCTCCGGACTCGGGCATATTATTCGGCAGGGTTCGAAATGAAGTAGGCCAATCTGCTCGGGGCGTTGTTACAAAACTTTATTGAGTGCCATTCGTGGCTAGTAGAGCCAAGGGGACAGAAGCCGATGGAGTATACGGCACGCCTCGGTTGATCCCACTCGGAAGATAATGAGGGATCCCAGTATTTCAAGGGTTTCGCGGGATTAAATACCCGGTGTTGGGTCTCATGGCCAGCCCAAATTGCCTGGGGGTCAGTTAGCAAGGTATCGTCCAAAAGTCCATCTGACTATATACAGGGACAACAAGTATGAGAGAATGCGACTAAATACGGAATGAGGAGGAATTACTTATATATTACATTAATAAACATATACATCCGTACAGAAACCATCATAGTCTAGCCCGAGATTACAACGCCTTCTTTTCACCGGCCACCCGCTCCTGTTCCACCACATACCCGACTGCACGAGCGAGACCTTCGTACACAGGTACAACAGGTCTATATCCGAGCCGGAACTTGGCCTTGTCGCATGAGTAGTAACGAGTCATACATGAGTAGCGAACGGTTCTTCTAGTTAAACGAGGTGTCTTGCCGAGAAGGCCCAGCACCGTCTCTGCAATTCCACCAATAGGGCCCAGAACGCCCTCAGGGAGCTCCCACACCTGATGAGGCTCCACAACCTTGCCAGTCAATGCCCAGGCAGCACGTGTCATGTCCCAGAAGTAGACCGGGGAATCGTTCGTGACATTGAACGCTTCGCCGTCCACCCGCTCGTGGTCCAGGGGAGCACCCTGTCCAGCTTCATACCGAGAGTAGGTAGCGAGCAAGCGGTATGCAGCCAAAGTATGAGCGTATGCAATGTTTCCAACGTACGTGAAATCAAACAAGTTGTTGTTCTCGCCTAACTGCATGCGGAGGACGGTCGGGGAGGCTTTGGACGAGTGCTCCAGGACCTTGAAGGTGAAGGTCGTATCCTTCTCACCGTAGATACCAGCCGGACGAAGGGCACATGTTACCATCGAGGTTGGAGAGGCGCGGTTATACTTCAAGACGATTTCTTCGGCGTCCGCCTAAGAGGGTGAATCCTGGTCAGTACCTATCACAAGAAGGATAAAAAGGGGTACATAACGCACCTTGGTTTCTGAATAATACTCTTGTTGCAACGGCCCCCGGATAAGAGGCCACTCTTCGGTGACGTTGATGAGGTCGCTCTGGGTATCGTGCACGACAGAGCTCGAGCTGGTGTATACAAAAGCCTTGCACTTTCCACCCCAGTCACCACGGGCACCGCCCGCAACTTCCACCAAGACTTTAGTTCCGTCAACATTGACCTTACGCAACAAGGGCTTGTTCCCTTCCAGAACGTTGGGCGTAGCGGTGTGGATAACAATGTCGGGCTTGACCGCGCGGAAAACGGCCAGCATGGACTCTTCGGACGTGATGTCGCCATCATAATATTCGGCTCCCGGGAGACGGTTGTGGGTCGTTCGCAGGTCGACAACAGCTACTTTCGCGATGCACCGAGGGTAGCGATCGCCCAGCTTGGGGTAAACAAATCTAGGGTCATTCTGGGGCTTGGGAAGAGCGACACTGGGATCTGTCTCCGAGGGGAAATTGAGCAACTGATCAACAATGTGCCAACCCACGAACCCGCAGCCACCAACCACTAGGACAGTGCCCAGTTCCATTGTAGGACGTCGAGTAGACATTTTGAAGTAAGACAGTAAGCTGTGATATATATAGAGCTAACTATCCGTGGTCGGTGGTTGGGTAAGAAATAATAAACAGGAGAAATTGCGAGGCCTGCAGGTTTGGGGGACGACGATGGTTTCCGCCTCCGGACAGAATCTCCGGGTTAAAGCTCGGACCCCCCGCAAAGAAGCCACACGTGAGTTTCCACTTTATGGAACCGAGATATTTAACGTGGTTCTAATTGTATTGTCCATCTAATTCAGTAACGGATCTGATGTTCGATCTAATCACAATTCCTTTATCAAACGGGTCTGCATTGCAACTTTTAGGGCCATTGCGTCAACTATCGTACTTCTTATCAACGATTTAGTATGGAGGCAGATCTTATAAGGTCACTACCATGGACTATCCAAATGGGGACTCTCCTTTCGATTCTCCTAGCACCCACTACAGAACAGCTAAGATCCTAGTGTTGTATCCCATGTTTTTTGTTCTACGGATCAAGCGGCTTGAAAGTCTGGGAATGGACGCTCAGAGAGGCAGTGAGGAAGTAGAGACCCGATATTGAGGTCATCTTAGCCAAGATATCAGTCTTAAGAAACGGAGCACAAGATCGTTCTAGCAGAGAGACCGATATAGACTCAGGATTTCTATGTTTCGCTGTATTTTTTCATCAATGCGACTGTCTATAAACTCGCCAATGTGGATGGTAACTCACACGGTCCTCTCTACTGATCGTCGCAATTCTCGGTTATACTTCCTTCGATCTTCCGGTGTTCCCCAAAATAATTTGGTTGCTTCGGGGTTAACAGTAGTTCGTGGGTCATAAGGCGGGTGTTCTTCTTCTAGAGATGCGACTATCCCCTCGATATGATAACGCATCTCCTCAGTCCGCCTTGGAACGTAGCATAAAACTCCTTCTTTGGACACGCGAATATGAAAGAAAGACGAGGCCTCCAGAAACACACGGGGCTGTTCTTCCGGGAATCGCGGGCTCAGATGTATCTGGATCTTGAACATGCCACCATCCAGTTGCGTCATTGGTCTTCCAAAATATGTGAGCCTCCACATGAAGGGGTTCCCCTCGTCAAGGTATAGATCAACCGTAATGTTGTTCTGATGCTTGAGGCTTTCAACAATCTGTTCGTACTGTCGTTGCAGGCTAGCTGCAATACCCCATTCTTGCTTTTTTGCCAACTGTCCTTCGACAGCCCAACCGCGTGTTTCTCGAAGAATGGCATCTCTGACCACAGCCATCCGCCGTATTAACTCCGGATAGTCGAAATGGCCATCCATAATATTGTTGCCGCCCTCAAAAGGCATTCTCTGGAATTTAGCTTTGCGGGAGTGTTTCTTCTCTGCAGCAACAAGAGACTGCATGTAGGGCTCGTAATACCACAAGAAACGTCTTTTGCGAAAATCCGCAAACGGGTCAAAAGAAGGCCTCCCATCCTCATAGATGATATTATCATCGCTTTCAGATGTTGGGTCGACTAGCGAGTCCGCACTCCCTTCAAGTGTTATGTTGAACGATGCCTCAAGAGGCTCAAGGACGGCGAGGCGGAGAGTTTCATGGTGTATCTGAAAACCTGGTCAAGGATGTTCTAACCTCAGAAGGATATCTAAGCCATTAATACCTTGGATACGTAAGCTTCCATGTTCTCTATATCGCTCGGTGACCGTGAGCTTTCATATCCGGGTTCATTTTCGTAGGGGTTAGACGACATTAAGCTCTGAATCGAGATAAGAAGAGACTCTAAGCACTGCGCAGACGACCATTGCTCTCCACTTTCACCTCGCCAGGTTCTACAAAGATGTCCGTTAGCCAGGCTCTCGCAGTTGATATGTTAGGCATCTGTATCTGTACCCCAAAATCGATCTATTTATCACCACTTAATTAGTAGGGATCCTGAACAAATCCGAGAGTCCCAACTCACAGGCAGACCCGGCCAGAAGAATAAATGTTGGGGTTAAAGCGGCTTCGACCACCGTTAGTGGTCAAGGCGCGGACATTCGGAGATGTGGCTGGGTAGTCTGTGAAGCTTAGTCCACTTGTCCACAGGCTTATGTTTTCCCACAAGATGGTGATAATATACCTTTCCCGAACTTGATAAGAAACTAAGGTATATCATGCGGTAGATTAACACAGAGCTCTGTGATACTGATTGATATTCCCGAAGAAGTAGAGACGAACCTCAAAGAAGCCGAACTGATAGGGAGTATCTGGAGGGCCGAGAATGAGAGCGCGGACACTCCGGATATCAGAGTCATCGTAGTATACAGCGAGAGCTAATGCAAAGTATCAGAATGGGAAGGTCAAAGACTATTGTAAGCCAGTGCTAGCATCGACGGGGATTCGATGGAACCGATTTCCGGCTACTATTAGTAGAATGTGGAGTACCCACAGAGGTCTGCGCCTTGCTGAATCTGCTTGATTTCCTAAGACCCCGCCAAGGTAAGACGACCCATTAGCCCAGCGAAGCTTAGAAGGATGCGGTGAGGAGTGATACCCTGGTAATACGTAGGATCGCCTGGTCGGACATCCTGACGACCGAGAAGACCAGAATGGGAGACGGCTTGACGGGAGGCCCGGGATCACTAGGCTGAGTGTTGAAGAATCAGGGAGAGACAGAAGCGTGTTGATGGTGGGTATAATCATCAACGCCGTAACGTAGTTGATGGCGGGGAAATCAGCCAGGCAGTGCAGGCTAACTAACTATCAGAGTGAGATCAGTCTGAGTCAATTTTCCAACAGCTCCAGGAAAGTAGTAAGAACAGACTGAAGATACTCAAGAACTGGCGAAGAGGCCTAAATCTGACCTGTACGAAGTACTTCTGGCTAGTGCAAAGGCAAAATAGAAGGCTGCATGCTCAGGTGCATGTAAATAACAATACTCCATGCGACGGCTCTACGGAGTACATGCATGAAACTATGTACTGACTTGCGTATTTAATACATGTCAATGTTCGAGCGTCAATTCACCCAAGTGAATGTCGCAGTTGCGAGACTCTGTTCAAGTCCTCTGCGTCAAGCCTTAGCTTCTATGACTCGATGACCAATACCAGAACCATCTTCAAGAGGAGCATCTGGTAAGATAAAGACGATAAGAGACCACGATGAGCAAGCCACTACTAGCTGTCACAACTCTTGACACAGATTGATCCGTACGAGGGCAATGAATACTATGGAGATACACTGTGCATAGAAAGACTACAAAAGGAAGTCTATGTTATTAGTCCAGCAAGATGTATATCTTCCATTAGTTCACTTCATACAGTAGCTAGTAGATAGATACTCGTCTGAGATTTGATCGACAGATTAGTTACTCCATAGTAGTAGTCAGTCTAGCACAACTCTTGCCAGGTCAAGATTGGTCAAGGGGACTTGAGGCCACGACCCATGGAAACAGCCCCTGTCTCACCGCCCGCAGAGGTGGAGACACGGATCCGTCCTTGGACGGATGATGTTTCGAGGAGACAAAAATAAACACACCCAGTGGAAATAAAATAACTCCTCACTACTGACCACTGACAGGACCCTCGTGTTATGCCCGTTTAGGCAAGGCGGGAGGGGTGGTGGAATCATGAATGGCTGGGTTTCCAAAGAGAAACCACCCATTCTTTTCTCTGACCCGCCATTACTACTATCTTCTACTGGACTATCCCCAACCCCTCTTAATCTCATAATCCACCGCGTACAAGCCCCTCAACCTCATTACAGTCAAAATCCTCGATTGGCTTTTGACTTTCGGCGTGTCGTTCAAGGCCCCTAAAATTTTCGCTGTGCCGATCCTTCTAATTGCCCCTTACATCTCATCTTTTCTGGATCGACGGTGCTTGCCATGACGAAGATTTTGATACCACCCCGACGGAGTATTCTGGAGTACAGTGCTGTGTATCAAGCCCAATGAGGAACGGTTACCAACCCCGCTGCCAACCAACTTTTCAAGAATTTCCATGTACAACCGGGAAGGTGGTACACCAGCAGGATTGAGAATGCTTCAGGAATGCAAATCCGCAACACGGGTCCCATGGTTATCAAGCCGCAATCTGGCTGACGCCTATCCTCGGTGAGAAGCATGGTTATCGCAAGTAATCCACGACACCTTGTTCCCTCAAAGTTTCTCATGGTCACCGATATTCCTGGCCTCTTCACATATTATCTATACTAAGCGAAACCACAGAAGCATGAACTGTTAGGAATCGCAAGTCAGATTCGGTAGTATGACATTTGGGTGTAATTAGCGAAAGCCGTATGGGATGTAAAAACGTTTCCCAGCGTTGGAGAAAGACTTCTCGGCTCCCTGTCTATTATTGAAGCGAAAATTATCCACATTTGGTGCATTGGTGAGAATAAACGGAACATTTGTAAAATCGTGAGACACATTCGCTAATGATTCCTAAGTCAATACCACCATGAGTGTGAGCTATATTTAAGATGCCAACTCTAAGATCCGCAGTGAGCATGGTCCGTTACCCTCCATCGCTGCAGAGATTTCTCCGCCCAGTGCGTTGGTCGACAATCGATGAAAAGAGATATGGCGCTGTACATCTTTACCTGATATGTCAAGCGGAGGGAGTGACTGCTCTCCGCTAGAAAAGGGAGGAATACAGTAGGGAGCTATTACTCCATGCATACTTGCTTGGTGAAGCAAGTACGCTGGACTGGTGAGTATGTGTTTGCTAAGAAAAACCGCAGTGGTGTAAGGCTTCAATTAAAATAGCGAGCGATTGGGCATTTGCATGCTTCCCCTAAGAATTAGCACCGCCTGGTTAGTTAGTGGCTTTAGCCCGTGATGAATAAGGGGAAGAAGCAGAAAAGGATGCGGGGAATGATCCAACGACCAGAAAGCCGCGTGGGAAAGACGAGGGTCGCCAAAATAGAAGCGCGTGGGTGGTAAAGGTATGTATGAAATGGAAGACCCTCCTCCCCCCTGGGATGTCTGAGAGAGGGATTCGACTCTGTTCATCCTTGGGAGAAGAGCATGCACAGCGTCCATGCCGTTCACCTGCCATCACTACCCACTATGGCAGTCGGCATGATCCTGAGGTCTCCACATCCCTGGAAATTACAAGGGTCTGTTTCTGCCAGCACCTCAAAAGGTGTACTGCCCAGTACCTTGTGTTTCCTATTTTAATTTACCATGAACAAGAAAGAGGGCAGACTCAGCAGTTGATGTGCGGAGCGTTTTGTCTGTTTGATAGTAGAATCATTAAAAAGATTTTCTTCTCCCATCCAACCACTGAACTTGGGGTGTTGTACCTTGGGCCTCCCCCTAACCTCCCCCCAAGTAGGCTGTTGTGAACTCTGGAACGGTTACCGTGTCTGGTAATACATCCACAAGTGAAGGAGCCATGGAAGCGCCTTCTTTGGCGGTGTGCCAGGCGGTGACCCCTTTCACGTGATGGTCTCTAGCGGGCAACCAGCAACATGAAGCATAGGGGGGCAGAGCGACAACTGCCAGCAGCACACTCACTCTTCCCAAAACACGCGATTTCCTGCCCTCGCTTTCACTTGTTCGAGCTGGCATCCTAGACTCGACTCGAGCCTCCTTCCCCTGCCCTGATTTGCCGGCCCGTCTCCCTCAACTTCGGATTCAGGCCGTCCACCAAAAAGTCTCTCTGGAAGGGATTAGGAATGGTTGTGATTCCAGACAGCGCACTCCGCCGCCTGTTGGTCTCACTTTGAGCTCCAACCCTTCCCCATTCCGCTTCCCTCGACGCGGGCGGTTGCGCTTTTGGAGGCACTTCTCCCCAAATCGGCTTGAAATTCACCTGCTACTTTGAGCGATTTTATGGTTATACTTTGATCACGCGCCCCGATTCCTTCCATCGATATTCCCCGCAGGTTTACTCTACATGGCGTGAGGTCAGTTGCTACGGGAAAGCCGTCAATTCTCCTGGACAACCCCGCGCGAACGAATCCCGGAAGATTGCCCCTTATGCTAACATTGTACACTCTGCAGAAGGCAAGTCCTTAAGTTAGAGGCGCGACATTGACGACTAGCACCTTGGTTCCTCCGTTTTCGCACTAGATTCTCCTTTCCCCCTCCAGCGTCTACACCAACTCGACCCTAGTTCGCCTGATTGGCACCACTATCATCTACACTCTCGAGTATCGTCCAGACGATCCATCCAGCCAGGTCTTACTCTCCCAAATACTTAGCAGAAAGGCATAGTTCTCTACGGACATGCCTCCCGGCGACGTTCCTTTGCCGGACAGCCTCGTGCCGGGCAACGGGGCTGTCCGCCCGAAACTCAACACCAGCGGCTATGGTGGTGGTAGCTATCAGTCGCAAACGCCTACATCTCCCGCAGATAGCAATATTATCTTTGACTCGCCCCGTACAAGGACGGGAGGATGGAATGGCTCCACGAATAGCCCTGTTGAGGGACCACAGGGCTCTGACAGTCGTATGAGCCGGCGGCTGGAGTCTGGTCACCCAGGCCCCAGAGATCCGTCAACTCCCCGGGATCGCAATGGCTATTGGGACCGATCTACGCCGCGAGAGAGATCCCGTCCGAATGGCCGGCCACCGACGAAGTCCCCAGGAAGCTCGTCTCGGATCTGCAAGAAGTGCGGCGAACCACTGACTGGCCAGTTCGTACGGGCTCTGCAAGCAACCTATCATCTCGAGTGTTTCAAGTGCGAGGTGTGTACTCAGGGTCATGAGATCTCCTTATATCTCAGCTAACTCTATTGGACATAGGACTGCGGACAAATCGTGGCGTCAAAGTTCTTCCCTGTCGATGCCGAAGATGGCAGTGGTCAATACCCCTTATGTGAAACGGACTACTTCCGGCGATTAGATCTTCTGTGCCATGAATGTGGTGGTGCTCTGCGTGGCTCATATATCACCGCCCTGGAACGCAAGTATCACATTGAGCACTTCACCTGTTCTGTTTGTCCCACAGTTTTTGGTGCACAAGACTCTTACTACGAGCATGAAGGGAAAGTGTACTGTCACTTCCACTACTCCACACAGTTCGCACAACGATGCCATGGTTGTCACACAGCAATTCTCAAACAGTTCGTGGAGATCTTCCGCAACGGGCAGAACCAACATTGGCACCCTGAGTGCTACATGATTCACAAGTTCTGGAATGTCCGTTTGGCCCCGACAGGCCAGCCTCTTGAACCGCCGGAAGTCGAAACGGACGCAACGGATGAGGAGCGCAATAGGGTGCGTGAAGAGGAGGACATAATGGAAGAAAAGGTGTATAAGATCTGGAGCATCCTGTCCAGTTTTGAGGAATCATCCGCAGCCTGCATTTCAGATATGCTCCTTCATGTTAGCAATGGCACTTATCTGGATGGTGTCCTTGTCGCCAAGAGGTTCATTGGTCATGTTGATATTCTCTTCTCGGCCATTGATCAGCTTGCGGGACATATCAAGGAACAGGGGATGAAAGGTATGTTGCAATAGCTGGTCTCTGCCTCTTTCTAGAAATACCAATAGCTAACAAGGTTGACTCCAGATCTGGCTTACGGACGTGAAGCAAAGCTTCTGTGCAAGAAGATAGTTGCGTTCTTCGCGCTACTTTCGAAAACACAGGAAACTGGTGTCCGCAAACTCGGCGTTACCCAGGAGCTCCTGTCTCTGGTCACCGGCCTTGCGCATTACTTGAAGTTGCTTATTCGCATTGGCTTGCAAGGAGCCCTCAAGCTTGAGAGAGAGCAGCAAGCTTCTCAAGGCCTACACCATTTCCTCGATCATTTGGGAGACTTGGAGACACTCAGGCCACCTGAAGAAGAGGAGACGCTTGCTGATCTTATGACCGGTGTCGACACTCTCGCCGATCAGCTTTCGGATTGTTGTACGGCCTGCAAAGAGCCTATCGATGACGAATGCGTTATGCTGGGTGATAGCAGGTGGCACATAAAGCCACCCCATCTCACATGTGCGTCATGCCAGAAGGAGCTGTCTCATACTCTCCAGGATGCACTGTGGAATCCCAAGGAAAAACGTTCCTTCTGTACCGATTGCGTTTCTCAGAACGGACTTATGCACGACGTCCAAGGGGGCTTTACACATATCACGAAGCTCCAGCAATTCGTCTTCCTCCTCAAGGTTGCTCTTGCGCGACTTCTTGCCGTCCTCAGAGCGGGTGGAAGCCTTGGTTCTGGTATGTCATCATGATATTCTTATATCCTCTTCCTCATCATAGCATCATCTCTAATTTCATCTGACTCATGTTCCAGGCGACGCTTCCCCCCCACAAGATGGCAACGATAGCGGTCGTATCCCTCCTGGCGGCGAAATGCGTCGATCAGCCACCAGATCCAAATCATATGCAAATGCCACTAGAAACGCTCCTGAGGGATCTTCACTTGAACAAACTGTCGGCGAAATGCGGCGTCTACGATCCATCCGGAATGAGCGTACCCTCTCAACTACTTACAAGAAGGCTAGAGCGTCTCGCATCATCGACGGGCCTGAAGGCCGCAGCGTACGACCTGGTTCATCGGGTGGCGAAGGATCAGACCCAAGGGGTCATGGTTTCCAGATTGTAGAAGAAAGAGATGCCAACGGGGAAACGGTCACCGAGCTGACGTTTGGCAACCAGGATGCATTGACGTTGGACGACATACCCAGAATCGTTGCTGCCGAGCAAGCTAAAGAGCAGCGTCCCAACGCCTACAAACACGCCGGCACCAAGCTGGTTGGAACCACTGAACCACTTCCCAAGTACAATTATGGCCATCAGCGCGGCGTATCTGGTGCAGGTCTTGACCAGCATATTATCGAACAAGGTGGCAGGACTAAGAAGTATTTCTCCGAGCTTTCTGCTTTAGAATACTTTATTGTCCGGCACGTTGCTGTCTTGTCCATGGAGCCTTTGTTGAGTGAATATTTCACGCTAGAGGAGCTACTCTCCTTGATCGAATCACGAAAGCCCACCATATGGAATATCTTCGGCCGCGCCTTCAATAAAGAAGGCAAGAAAGTTGGAAAGAAGAAGGGCGTGTTCGGGGTAAACTTGGATTTCCTTGTTGAAAGAGAGGGCACTGAATCCAGTCATGGTGTGGGTCCAGGGCAGCTTCGTATTCCCGCCTTGGTCGACGACGCTGTGTCCGCCATGCGCCAAATGGATATGTCCGTGGAGGGTGTCTTCCGAAAGAACGGCAATATCAGACGCTTGAAAGACATCTCTGAAATGATTGACAACAAATATGAACAGGTGGACATGACGAAGGAGAATCCTGTCCAGATTGCAGCGCTGTTGAAGAAGTTTCTCCGCGAGATGCCCGATCCTCTGCTTACATTCAAGCTCCATCGTCTATTTGTTGTTTCACAAAGTAAGTGACTGATGGTCCTGGTTGATATTGTCGCCTTCATTACTTACCACTATATCACAGAGCTACCCGACCCTGAGAAGCAAAAACGTGTATTGCATCTTACATGCTGCCTTCTTCCCAAGGCTCATCGGGATACTATGGAAGTACTTTTTGCTTTCCTTAACTGGACTTCATCTTTCTCGCACGTCGATGAAGAGTCCGGTAGTAAGATGGACATACACAATCTCGCGACAGTCATGACACCCAATATTCTCTACCCCAATGCCAAAAATAGCACGGTGGATGAGAGTTTCCTGGCAATTGAAGCCGTTAATTGCCTGATTACATACAACGATACCATGTGCGAGGTTTGTTTCTCTCCAATCTCGAACGTTGTCTTCGTATACTCACGGTCTCTGGATAGATACCCGAAGATCTACAGTCGGTGCTTAGCGACACAACTTTCTTCAAGGAAAACACCGAAGTCACAACAAAGGAAATACTTCGACGCTACGGCGACATTGCGCGCGGAAGCTTTTCTCCCAAGGCGAGCAATGGTGGCGAAACCGTTACAATTACGAACTCGAACCGCGCTGCCAATATCCCTACTTCTGCGCGTATTGAGACAGATCCCTCCCAGGACACGGCATGGCAGATGCAAAGCTCAGTTCGCCATGTTCAAAGCCCCGGTGGTCATCAGCACTCGACCAGTGGTACTCCACAAGCTGGCACAGAACTGGCCCCTACAGCCTCCAATGACTATCGTGAGAGAAGCACCAGTAATGGCAGCCAGCAGAACCCTATGCAAGCCGAAGGACAATCTCAGCCAATGCCATACAGGGCTCGTCCCGGTGCTGGGCCCATGGGAGTTGCTGGCTAGTTCTTCGCCATTTCATGCTCTTGATGCCAACCCGCCCGTTGCTTCTCTGCATAGTTTCGAAGACATTTACCAATGCATTACCCGCCTCTACATCCTAGTGATAGCTCTTGGCGTATTCTTGGACCGTTCAGCGTTCTTTCGATTTAATAAGGTTGGATGGAGTTTGTTCTCCTTTTGAAATGAGATGATTTCCAGGGTTTAGTTAGATGATCGGCTGACAGCTTCTCCTGATGGATCGAGGCTTTTCTAATTGCTTTTCTGTTGCGCACTGACTGCGTGGAGTGCATTGCATTCGGTTGTGAGTCTCGACATGATTCACTCACTGCCGCCTATAATTTGGATTTCAACCGCGCGCAAGTGGCCACAGGAGCCTCTGCCCGTTCGGGTTGGCAATTTCTGGGATCTGGGTGTTGTTTTCGATTCCTACTTTCCTGGCATTCTACTTGCATTAACAGTTAAGACCCAGCGTGGGCATTCTCTCCTGGCATCTTTCTTTCCTTTGCTCTTTGTTGTTCCTTACATCACTTGCGTCTTCCTGGCGTTGCGCCTCTCTTAACCTGCTACCGATCGAGATGTGAGACTATCGAGATCCTCTGTTTACCCTTGATTTCATTTGTCAGCCAGTCTGATGACTGCGAAGATACCTGTGCTGAGTCATACATTCAGTTCGTTTCTCTTTTTCTTTTTCTTTTTTCCTTATACTCTTCTTGCTTCACTTCTTCTACCCCCTATTTACATTCTACCCATACGACTTGACTTTTTTCTTTCTCTTTTTCATTTTCTTCTGATATCCCGAATTGTTCGTGACTGGTTCTATCACATCCATGTCTTCATGTGATGCTGTTTTCCTCGAGAACAGGAGGTGTAATTTACATACAATTGTGAAAGGAATGCCATAGTGCCAACTCTGTTAAGGTGCGCAAAGTTGTGTGCTGCTTGCTACTTGCTACTTGCTCCTTGCTCCTTGTAAGCGTCCATGTTCTGAGAACAAATGTAATCAGTATCCCGAAAAGTGAGAATATGAAATAGATGTTTCTCCAGAACAGTAGTTGTTGGTCTTAAATGCTAGCTAGTAACCATCCATCCTGATCATTACGGTGTACGCATAGCACTAAAACAGTTCATATGGAGAAACTTATCCGCAATTGCTCCCGTTTCTATTGCACTACTTTGGTTATTAGGGAGAGTATGTAGTAGTACTGCTACTATAGCCTGTGAAGACTGCTTTGCTCTGCCTGCCAGAGTTACGAGCAAGATAAATGAAGATGGGAATGTTTCGAATACTCGAAAGAAAGGCCACTTGGGTTCGGCGATAGTTAATCAATAAGCGGCAGAATCAAGAAAGAGAAACAAACAATCACAAAAACCAGGTATAGTCAGAAAAGGGCCTGATTGAGAAAAAGGCAGGACAAAACTCCAATTGTACACCAGTTATCCCTTCCATATTATGATCCCGTCCAGAGATAATACACCCCTTTACTCCATGTCCTCCTAACCAAGGCAATGAATGAAACAAAACATGCTAATTTGAAAGGGTTAAATTGAGTTGAGGATACAGCACTTATGCGCGTTTCCGAAGGACTCTACGAGCTGCAGTTGGAGCTGCCTCACCACCGGCAGGAGTGGGAGCTCTCTTGCTGGTAGCGGAAGTTGTGTTTCTCTTCGCGGTCGCGGAGGTTGCTTGGCTCCGGGCGACAGTTGTCTTCTTTGCGGTCGCGCTTGAAGTCGATGCTGTCGTTGCCTTCCGGGCACCAGCACCTGTCCTTGTTGGCTTGGCAACGGTTGTTCCGGAGGATGCGGACGATGACACACTGCCTCTGCGTTCGAGCTGGCGAGTTGCTGGCCTTGGCAGTGGTGACCGGGTGGTTTTGCTAGTAGCTGTGGCGGCTCGGCTGGCGGGTCTCTTGGCCTGTGATGGGGGCCTGTTGTCCTTGATTGAGGTGGATGTACTCTTGACTGGCCGGATGCGAGTATTGTCTCCCAGTGTAGGAATGCTAGCAGATGTAGATTTGAGTGGGCTAGTGGGTTTCAAAGGCGACATAGGTCTTGCAAGGTAGGAAGAGTTCGTAGGCTTCTCGGGTGAGGCGCGTAGCGGCGAGTGTGGATATGTTCTGGAGTTGGACGTCTTGGGAGAGAGAATTCTGTAGTCAGCACCCCTCATCTCCTGGGACACAACACGCGAAGTACCAGCAGCGGCACCAGGTCCACGTCTCTTGGGGTTCTTGAGGACATCGAGCTGTTCGCCAGCTGCAGGGGCGTTTTCCTTGTCAGAATAGATTTCTCCGTGGCTGGATGCTCGAGTCAGCTAAGCTCAACAATACACAGTTGTACATGTAATATGTTCAGGCCATACCTTTGCTTCTTGACTCTGCGGGCACTGGGGCTCGCAGCAGAGGCCTTGCGCACATTGGGGCTAACAGAAACGGTTCTAAAACTCCTTGACGCCTTGGCTGGGCTGAGGAGTTTCCGTGGAGAGAGATTCGCTTGCTGGGCCCGGATAGAGGCCATGTGTTTCTCCAGCAGCTCACCCATTGTCGCCTTACGAAGAGCAACGGGAATCCGATTCACGCGTCGTTCAATCCGTGCTCGAAGGTCGTTCGCCTGGAGGGCATACTGTGCGCGAAGTTTGCGGGCGCGCTCGGTGACTGTGGCCATGTTAGTGGGATTTCAAGATAGCGAGGTATTGAGAGAGCGCACGTTCGAGCTGCAGGTTGTCAATCAGAGCTTGTTTTTGTCTGCGGGTAATTCGAAGCTTCTTCCGAGGAGGGCTGTTCTCAGGTGTCCTTGCTTCGTCATTGTGGGACGCGTCTTCGGGAGACTTGCGTTTGGCAGAGACCGAAGCCATTGGGCGCAATCGTGAGTGGTCGAGGTGGGTGGTGAGCAACAGCGATAAAAGGAGTAATAGGTGAGCTGGTGCGTATAATGTGTTGTGTGGAAGAGTTGGAGCGGAAGGGATGGAAATCGAGAGACGGAGGGGAGCGCGTTGGAGGGAGTTCTGGAGGAAAGCGGATGGCGGAGAGGATAAACAAGCGCTGACTTAATTCGTGGTTAGCTCCGATCGGGACGGTGTGACATCTGCGTCCTCAGCAGCAGCAGCTCCATCATCATCCCTCCTCCGCCAACCTCCATCATCCACTTCCCCCATCGCTTTCCTTGCTCCCACGCCCAGGACATATACTTCTCAGGAATTCTTGCTTCTTCCCAAATTTTATTGATCATACCCATACATTTCAGAATCAACCCCGCCAGTCCCCTTCCAAGATGTCGCTCGAAGCTACCATGATCATGTCCGTCTAGCCACCTTCATCCAAGCTCTGTGCGCACCTACTAACGCCATCTACAGTGTCGATAATAGCGAAAGCAGCAGGAATGGAGATTATACGTAAGTTGCTAATTCTGAGTCACTCAGAATCGACCGCCTGGTTCCTAACAGCTGCCAGCTCGACACGATGGCAAGCTCAGATCGACGCCGTGAGCGTCATTCACACCACTAAGATGCGCGTGCACCCTCAATCTGCTGTCGGTCTTATGAGCATGGGTGGAAAGGGCCCCGAGGTCCTTTCGACATTTACCACCGACTTTGGTGGTATCTTGGCCGGTCTGCATCGCACGAAGATCCATGGCACTGCCCACCTTAGCTCCAGCATACAAGTGGCCGGTGTATGTTTTCAAACCACCCCATCATCTCTTTCTTTGAATACTGTACTATTTATGGGATTGATTGCTAACCTGGTGGTTGGCGCAGCTTGCCCTCAAACACCGCTCCGAGAAGTCCCAGAGACAGCGCATCATCGTGTTCTCCTGCTCTCCCATCGAAGAAGACGAGAAGACATTAGTGAAGTTGGCCAAGAAGATGAAGAAGAACAATGTGTCCATCGATGTGATTGCCTTCGGAGATCTGGAGTCCGATCAGACTAAGAAACTGGAGGCATTTGTCGAGAACGTCAAGGGTGGCGACGGCTCTAACCTCGCCATCATTCCCCCGGGCCCCAACTTGCTGAGTGAGGAGCTTCAGGTCACTCCCATCCTCGGTGGGGACAGTTCCGGTGCCGATGGTGCAGGTCCTGAAGGCGGTGATGGTGCCTTTGGATTCGAGGATGCGGCTGAGAACGACCCCGAACTGGCATTCGCCCTCCGTCTATCTCTGGAAGAGGAGAAAAACCGGCAAGAAAAGGAGAAGCGGGACCGGGAGGAGCAAGAGCGCAAAGCCAACTTGGACAACATTCCCGAGGAGGGCTCCAGCGGGAGCAAAGACAAGAAAGAGGATGGTGACAAGATGGACACTGCTTAATGTGGAGACCAGAACAACCTCCTGGATGATTTGATGCATACCCGGCGTTTTTAATGTACTTTCGTTTTCTTGCTGTAATTGTAGAAAGCGGTTGGTTCTCCGGCAACTCGCTTTTGAAACGGATGCGTATCTCATATGCAAATCTATCGCCATCGTAACTTGTTGTTGTTCCATGATACAAACTATGACGCCCAGATATCAAACATGTCCATGCATGCCACCGCAAAACCAAAAGCAAAATCATATAAAACAAAGAAAAGACATCGATCACAACCCCGCCCACCACAATCAAACCTCAATAATAAAACCCGCCTAGGCCATCATCTATCAATCAAGTCCTCCCCCTCAACCAACCCTGCAAATTCCGATCAAACGCCTCACACCTCACCGGCATTTCCAACTGATAGAATGGATTCTTCATAACAAAGTCCGCATACAGCTCATATATCTTCTTCATAACCACCTCGATATTCGCCATCAACGGATCCGTAAACAAGAGGAACTTGGTGCCCGTCAACGTCTGGAAACACGTTAATCGGAACTTGTCCGTTTCTAGGCACTCGAGACCCGTCGCGGGTACTCCGGGGTTCGGGTACGAATATGAGGCTGTAGAAGAGGTAGGGGTTGATGATGTGGCGGAGGGAGAAACGACATTGTTGGGGGAGGGTGTGGTCGCGGTGGTGGGTGTTGTTGCGAGTGCTGCGGCGGGGGCGAGGGGGAGCTTGGGGGTGATGGAGCGGGTGATGGCGTGGACACTGTACAATCAATGAGAAAGGTATTTAGTGTGTGAATTCTTAAGAATATATATGTAGTAAAGAGGAGGTAGCTGTTGGCTTGGTTGGTGTGTGCGTACCCGTGAAATGTGCCCGCCAGGACGAGGTAGTCGTTTGTCGAGAGCTTGCGCAGTCCTGGTTGGAATTCGCGCTGGTAGACTAGCCCACCGGCTTTGTTGATTATTATGAGGGAGAATACGGCCCTAGATGGGGACTGTTAGGAGTTGGGCTTTTTGCTGGAGGGGGGTTCTGGTTGCGACGTACATTGCGGAGGAGGGGGCTCGTGATGGTGATTATAGGTGTCGAGGTCGGACAAGTGTTGTTGTCCTTTTAAGCAGGGCGTCAGGATGTTGGCGCATGCAGCATCACTTGGATTGGCTTGTTGTGGGTAGGTATGGTGACGGTAGAGGGAGATTGTTCGTGTGTTCGCGCATTCACATCGTAATTGTTGTTGTTGGTGTCATCATAGCATGGGCGTCTTTGCCGGAGACATTGCGGAGTGCGCTCGCTGCTTGTTGGTTGGGTTGTCTATACTGCACCTAGTTGCTCAGGGTGGTTGTGTCTTCACCGCCCTGAGGTAGGGGATGCCAGCCAATAGTGTGCATTTGTTCATACATTGCTGTCGAGTTTTAGATGGCGGCATTGTTCGCGCTGCTAAACAAGGTAGAAAGACATTTTGGAGTTACATTGCTCGTGAGCTTGTTTTCTAGGTGTTACGGATATAATGGGTTATCTTTACTTCTACTTTCTAAACTCGAGAAAATGTGCCAGTAATATCAACTCGAATTGCAAGATCAATCTGCTACCTTGAAGGATGATATCAAGCTCAAAAACAACGCAACATACAAAAACTGACATACATGACACTTAATATTAACGCTCATTATCATAATAACCAGTATCATATTCCCTTTCAAACCCAAACTTAAACCCCTTCAAGGAGCCGCCACAACAGTAGAGACCTCCACCATATTCTGCAGTCATAATTAGCCAACATCTACAACCCAAGCAGCGCAACAATCCAAGAAATGGATCCAACTTACCGGTCTCCTCTCAACAATATGCTCCGACTGCACCGACTTCGTCACATACTTCACGGATCCCTCCCCACCTCGCCCCCCAGCCCTCAAATACTCCAAATAATCCGGCGCTCCCGGAATATCCGTGTTATCAGCAATAACACTAGATCCGACTCTAAAGAGGCCCAGATCCTCACACAGCTTCAAATCGCTCAAGTAGAACTTCTCCCAGTGGTCAAAGAAAGCCATATCGACTCCTCCCTTCACAATCTTGCCCTCCTCAACCAGCTTCGCCAATGACTCCGACGCAGGCCCCACCAGCACATGCACGATATCCTCGACGCCCGCCACGCGGATTATGTCTCTCGCTACGCTTGCCACCTCCTCGCTGACCTCGAAGGTGTAGACGTGCAGCCCCTCGGCGAACGGACCGTGCAGGTCGCGGAGAATGGCGGCCCACGCGACGGCAGAGCACCCGATGTAGGTGCCGAATTCGATCACAACTTTGGGTGGGGATTCCATGGACTTAAGGGCTTCTTTGGCGACGTTGAGCTTGGCTTGTTTGAAGTTCATCAGACGTGCGGTGCGGCTGAAGAGGTCGAGGGCTTGGTATACGGCCCAAGGGTTGTTGTTTAGGGCATCGCTGGGCTGGGAGAGGATGTAGTCCCGGGCCAATTGGGCGTTGGATTGGAGGACCTGGTGTAGATAGGTATTAGTTTCGATGGTGCTATAGAAGGACTGATGCAGGTCTTGCTTGTTGTTTCGGACTTACGGTGTCTTGGGAGGCCATTGTTGTGTTTGAGGAAGCAGTACTAGATTGTATTTCGGTTGTTGAAGGTAGGATGTTATAGTAGTAGATGAATGTCAAGTACTGTGAAGGTAGCTTCTGGGTGAGGGTATGAAGATAGATGTAGCTATTTGGAGTAGTAGATGTTCAAATGATACACCTATGTCTGTTGATTTTGGGCATCTAGAGGACCGGTGCTGGCAGTGGGTATTTATACCATAATGCCGCTACGTTCAACGTAGAGAACCACTATTCTCAGTAGGAATGAGTCCACTTTACCATCTCTACATTGCTGCGCCACTACTTCTCCGATTTTATCTCCGATTATATCATCGCCTCGGAGGGGTTCAAGACTTTTGTGGATACTATCGGTCAATAGATATAGCCATAGGGCTGGCTGGTCGGCTGAACGCCTCAGGCCGAGTATCTGTTGAGCCGAGGCCTAATCTGTAAGTGGTATTTAAAGCCGAGTCTCCGGTCTCAAACGCCATTTACGGTCCTGAGCGCCGAGTGACTTAAAGCCGAGGCGGGCCATCAGCCCCGCCAGCAGTTGAAGACTTAGCCGCATGAAACTTTTTGCTTGACTTGAATATGGGTCATTCGCGTGTATGTGCTGTTCGGATGGTATCATATCTCAGTGCTATTCCCTAATTCATTGTTTTGCCTGTTTTGTAGTGTTCGCGCTGAGCTCGGTAAGAGTCCGGGTCATCGATGTTCAGAGTCCATGTCCGCGGAGCCGACTTCGGGAAATTCAGTCAGGCAAGTTCCAATTTGATGTAGGTTGTGCCATGATCAAGTGGTTTTCGGAGGGTTTGTGAGCCCCTCCTCGTCGTACTCATATCGTGATTCCATATCCTGGGTGACAAGATCAGCATACGGACAAACAAATTGAAGAAACCAAACTCACCCAATACTTATTGAACCCAACACCCTCACAGACATCGGAATATCCAAGTATCATGGGCGGAGCACCAGTCATTAGACTGCGCTTCAATCCATCCAAAGCCTCCCGAATGCTCTTAAGCCTTGCAGCTACCAGCGTCCAGGGGTATGCGACAGCTGCAAACCCCAACTCTGCTAGCTCCTTAGCAGATAAGTTCTCCGACTTTCCACCCTCAATTATATTAGCAAGCAAAGGGATATCCAGTTCCTCTGCGCACTTCCTCATAGCTTCTTTGTCAGGTAACGCCTCAACAAAGACGCCATCTGCTCCCAAGCGCTTGAACTCTTTCGCCCGAGTCATCGCTTCGTCCCACCCGTGGATCAATGAATCCGTCCTTGCCAAGATGAATATATCCCGTCCCTGATTACGTGCATCAACAGCAGCCTGTATCCTCGCGTAGGCTTCGCCTCGAGATACAACCGATTTACCTTTTGTATGGCCGCATCCTGTACACAATTCCGTTAGACTTGACCCAGTGTGTCATGAAGACGCATCTCCAAAGAACCTATACATACTCTTCGGCCATGTCTGATCCTCGATCATCACACCCGCCGCACCCGCCGCAGCGAAACACTCCACAGTGCGTCGCACGTTCATAGGGCTCCCGTACCCGGTATCTCCATCGACCATGATAGGTATACTCGTCACACGAACTATTTCCTGGATTCTGGCGGACATTTCTCCCATGGCAATGTACCCGGTATCCGGAAGACCATGAGAGGCTGCCACGGAGAATCCGGAAATAAATATCATAGGGAAGCCAGCTTCCTCTATCAGTCGCGCTGAAAGGCCGTCGTAGCCACAGGGGTGGGCTATGATTTTGGTAGGATCTCGGTGAGCTTCTAGCCACATTGTACGTAGACGAGAGGTCTGTGCAGATGGGATTTTGCCGCGGGCATTTTTGAGTGTCAATGTGGTGGTATTATTGCGTGTTTCGATGTGATCGGAGGTGTCAAATTGGAACGGGTATGGAGTGGGGTTTTGCGAGGCCATGTTGGAATACAGATTGAGTTAGGCTGCTTGGAAGGCCTTCAGGATCTAATGTGTGCTGAGAGGGATAATCTTCACGGATAGTATGATTTGCATTTACTGCAGAATGTTGGTTAAGTGGTGGCCGAGTAGTACTGTGCAAGTAGATAGCCGGGAGATTGGAACCCCGCGTGGACTTTGAAATCCCCGCACGCGTCATAGCCTGCCCGTCGGAGCATTCGATGGCTGGTTTCTGCCCACTGTCAACACGAGGAATATAGTATCCAGTCTTCACCACATGGATATCATAGCAGTAACGGCACAGATCTGGACTGTCACTGACGAAATTGCCGTGGAACTATTCCTTTGCGTGGCACTATTACGCATTTACTATTTACTAGCGAGAACATTGTCTCATCCCAGTGTTCAAAAGCAAGATGACCAGCCAGGGTCTGACCAGCATCAATGTGTAAGCTATACTACCGCTACAATAAAGCTTCTATGACTACTGGTGTCTAGGCAACAGTCCGATCCTATCTCTTTTCGGTACAACTATCTGCTGCTTTGGAAGAAGATGTCTAAGCCCTGTTGGATCCAACTGCATATTCAATGGCTGTCAGAAATATATTGGCCACCGCTGCGCCCCAGAATAGCAATCGGGAAGATCAGCGTTGTTCTCGACACGAGCCTATGATTCTGTGACATCACTATCATCGCGCTGCTCGGTACCGGTTCCAAAGAAGTCCCGGGCGTCTAAACAAGAGCATGGAGTATACACCCAGTGAGGGCCGGAAATAGAGATAAGAAAAGTGCACAAAGAAAGAAAGGGCACTCCTTACAGAAGAAGGATGAAGCGCGCGCATCAGTCTGGACAACTGTTTACGTACTGCGAGCCAACCCGGATACAATCCGACCACATGGCACCAGAATTCCAGAACCCTGTTCAGCTGTTATCAAAACAAGAAGGAACGCAAGGAAGCAACCAAATTCCACGAGCGACTCAAGATGCATTACGACCTGATTACATACACTAGTCTAACGCTAGAAGGGTCCCCGTTTATTCCAACTTACAGATTACCACTGAAAACAGTCAGTGGATGCCCCCCATCCAGTCCAGATGAAGGTGCATGCAGCTGACCCGCCGATCTGTATGCAAACTAAAATCTCACCCACCAGCCAGACCCAGCTGAATTCTGATACACTAGTCTAGCTCGGCCGGCCGGCGGATAGGCTCTGGGCGGCCGATACATACTATTAGACGCGCAGAGGGGAGGTACACTCAGATACGTACGTGTTCGTAAGTGGAAACCCTGTTTGCCGATCAATCTCGGTGATTTTCTTACTGTGCCCGGAGTACCTCCAGAACTAACGCATTGCATTACACTATCGGACGCATCTCTAGAACCGGTATACATGCCTACCGAGCATATCAGGAATGCGCCATGGGCCTGCACGATCCACGACCACAACCCACAAGGGTGTCAGCATGTATCTAGGACGAACTATCGTTTCAGGTTGTAGGCCCGTGGCATGATCCTGTGTACCCGTCGATCTGGGATTGAAGGGACTGGACTAGACTGGAAGGAAGGAAGAGAGAAAGGGGTCAGCTACGTACGTCAGTCAGTACTATACTGATCGGATGGGAACTTCTTGTTATGGGGCGCCGGGGGTACCCGTGCCACGTGGAACGTTTCACTCCCTTTCGGGGACCATATTCTTGTGGATTTGCAGTTATCTGGGAATTGGGGGCTATGCTGACATGCACCGGACGATGCTAGTTTAGTGTCTGGGAATGATTGGTGAGGGGGTCTCTGGAAATGTGAGGCGAGCTGAATCGGTTGGTCGATCTGACCGTCGCTGCGGCTGAGGGTAAATTACTCACTTCCGTGTTCATCTGCGGAGTGTCTATCGAGTATTATCTTACGGGAAGAGGCTTACTCTCGGGGTACTGAATACTACGAGTAGGTTATGCAGTATAGTGGTAGTAATGAATATGTATCATCGCATTCTCTATTGGTCATGAACTCCTCATGCTAGAATAATGCCGAAAACCAAAACCATATAGCTCAGCAGTCCCTTGCTCCTTTCTCTCGATATGTATGGGGTATTGTGCAAAACCAGGGGAAACCTTAAAAGGGTCCAACAATCATGACATAAACATAGTGAATACAGGATATCAGTCATTAATCATCATCTCAGTCAGTCCGCGCACATAGATGTGCAAAATTCATAACCAGACCGAGAGTATTATAAGGAAGTAGCAGAGTAAAACAAAGGAAATAGAAACGAAATAAAAAAAATAAAAGAAGCCCAGAACCAGAAAATAAAAGGCTAGAGAAGAGATAGAGGAAGGCGGGGTGGGGCAGCAGTTGGATACTTTGGAAGGAGGCAGTAGTAGCCTTCACTTCACTTCTCGCAAAGACCGACCAACTTCCACTGCCCATCCACTTGCCGAATGATGTCTTCTTCAATTGCCCATTGGCGCAAGGAAGGATCTTCGGCTTCATATTGCGCGTCACCTTTCTCGTAGTGACGACCAACATGCTCCATTCGATCATTCCATTCGATGAAACGCTGCCCACAGAAGCCACAGGCGCTCTGGCTAGGTGGTTTGCGTTGCTCATGCCAGCAACGAGCTCGAACAGCCTCAAGGGTCTGCTCGAAATCATCGCGCTCTTTCTCAGTTTCAGGCTTTTTGCTGTTGCGCCCGACCCAGGGCGCATGCATACGACGCTGGTGTTGAGTGAAGAGATCCTTTCGGTTGAAGTCGTTGACGAGATGCGTCTCGTTAAAAGAGGCACAGCTGTTATTCGTGTCTTGGCCCTTGTTCTTGCTTAAATTGTCCATACTGCAGCGTCCGACGTCACAACGGTAGAAGCCAGGTTGGATGTGCTGCGAGGTCACATGGCGCTTCCACTCGTTCTTCGAAACGAAGGTACTCTGGCACCCATAGTGGGAGAAACTGCAAATGAACACCCGGCTGGTCTTTGCACCATCCTTCTTACCGCTGGTCTTTGTAGAGGCCCGGGCTGCAGAGGTAGGTCTTGCTTTGGTGGACGTTTTGCGAGGTCGCTTCTTGCTGATGCGGCCTGTGTTCGTGATAGACAGCTTCGGCGTCTTGAACTGATTACTGGAAGAGCTGCAGGCTTCTTGCTGACTTGTGGTCTCTGCGTATTGGCAACTCTGAATGTCACAAGCAGTATCAAATTCATCGTGTTGGGGAGGGCTGTTATAGCAAAAGGGACCGCCCAAAGCATGCTCCGAGTCTGTCTCGAGTTTGACGATAGGGTCGGGTTCGGGATATACTTGGGAAGGCGCCACCAAACTGTCGACGTCTGTTAGGGCAGATGGGGAAGAACAAGATCCGAACCCCAGTGGCGGGAGTGCGACTTCATCGCAGGTGTATGGAGGAGACATATAGCATCCCATGCTGAACCAATTCGAACTTCCGGTGGCGAGGCTGTCTTTTGTCTCTGGACTAGAGACGAGTTCATTGCTCCAAGGTGAGCCGAACTCAGAAGAAGCAGCAGTCAATGAGTCGGTGTTGTGAGGTAAGACCGGCTCGTTTGACCACGACATGGATGGGGCGATGTATGGGTTCTTCATGGGTAGGTCGACAGGAGAGAGATGAAACTGGAAGCTTGAAGGGCGTTGGATAGTCGTGGGGTCCGAATAAGGCTCGTACTGACAGGGAAACAGTTCATAATCCTGGGCCAGATCGTCCTTGGAGGATGTATGCGGGAGGTCTGAGAAGGGTTGGAAGTGGGCCATTATGTATAAGCTGCGACGTTGTGCTTGCTTTCCAGGGATCCAAAGCTATGCCAGCTGAGAAATCGCTGCTTTATAGCGATAGAAACCAGAGGCAGTACCTCTTCAGCTGGGGGTGCCATGGTTATGTACTGGCCTACGAGGGCGGTACACGCGATGGGTCACTGCGAACCGAGAGGAGCGTGGAGTCAAGGCCATTGTTGAGCCGCATCGACTGAGCAGACTGAGCCATTATTTGTCGAGAGCATCGAGTTGGAGTGCACCTTGGGAAGCCGGAGTAGTGCGCCCCTGCAGCGACGGCCGACAATCTTCTAGCCTGGGCGTCTGGATGTCAACCTACTCGAATCGGCCAGTGAAAATTCGCGATTTTGGGAGAGGTCCCCCCCCCTTTTGGTTTTTCATTTTTCTATTTTTCCAATTTTCTGCATACTATTTTACGATCCTTGATGCAATTTAATTTCCTTACTTTCCAGGTGGGTATCGATTCCGCCGTGGAAGGGTTGAATGGCATCGTCGTGAGACGGCGCCTCTGGGCTGCAAGGATGGTGGTCCTCGTGTTTGGGGATTGACAGAACGGCAGCATCCACCAGAGGAAATGATCGATCTGGGCCAAAGGTTGGGCCTGTCTCCAGGCCTCTCCGACCGTCCGATTCCCCGAGAGAGCCGCAAAGACCGGTGAGTGCGCCAACTTTACATGCGCGCTTGAAATTGTCTTTTTGCCAGTCTCTGGCGTCAGACTATTTCCACATCCTCGTGGCTTCGAGCCCAATTTCACGCATCCACATTCCATCGTCTGATTGGCCTTGCTGCCCTCTTGTCTCTTGCCCAACACACCCAGAGAAGGCAATTCAGCCTCAATGATAGGCAGTGCTGAGTTAATACTGCATTAGTCGGGCAACGGAGGGAACCACTAACCACCACAGGGTTTCGGGGGCCAAACTATACGGGGCCGCCGCGGGTCAACTTAGCGAGCGTTATCGTCGAGCTCGTCTGATTGTGAACCAACATTCCGAGTCATTAGCTGCATCCATACCTCGCTCTAATTCGGTGTCGTGGTGCAAGGATTCTCAATCAGGTAATGGTCGACGATTAGCGGAATCCTGATCTGTCCATAGTTGGTTGCCTCTTGCCCAGTTGTTGACCTTTTCCAGGGCACGGTTTGGCCCTGTCGCCCATGCCCGCACGGCACTAAGCCCGCGCCACGCTGTTCCCCGACACGCTTCTGGAATGGTGCACCGAGAACTCAGGAAAAATGACGATGAGTCTTAACTGTTAACTGCTGATCGGAGAAGACGCCTGCGGATAGCCCCTGGGGTGCCACCCGCCCAGGATATCCGCTTAGAGTCTGACAGCTCATACCTTTAGTAGTATCTGGTGGTGTCTCTCGTTAGCACCTTGGTCATCCTCCGAGCTGGGATCCGTTATCGTCGCTTTGATGGTAACGTATCACTGAAAGAGTGTCGACCCACTTCCTACTACCCCTTTCTTGTCCATTATCTGCTGTTAGCCTGTTACTGTCGTTGATGGGGATGTACGGACTATGGAGCAATGTGCATCTTGTGGACGCAGCTGCTCAAATCCACTTAGTGCCTGTTTTTGGGGGCCGAAAATAAATCTACTATGACACCGCTCGATGATCATGGGGGTACTTAATCTCTCATAGGACAGTTCGTCAAAAACGAAATTAAACATCGACGATGATGGATACACTACTTTGGTACTACGGGGTAGCGTTTGATCGAGTCATAGGCCGATCTTGTGATGAGCACCAATTACTGGCCAAGGCACAGTTGACTAAACAAGTTAACAATGCCATGTCGCATCGGACTTGATCCTGGCGATTAGTTCGAAAGTCGTTTGCTGTCATCCCCGTCAAAACTCTCAGGCCAGCGTATCGGGCCTGGACAAAGTCGCGCTACACTCTGGCATGCTGGACAACCAACATCGGACACACCCCCCAAGCGGGATATTCGTGTGGCTGAGGCGCGTTGGCTGTGCCTCGAATCTGCCTTACTCCTCCGTGAAATTGATTCGACGTCTGCCCATCTGCCATGAAGTCTTGCGAGGCTTCTTTCCATCGAACCCCGGTTTCCGACAGCATTGCCAAGTGATCAAGATTTCTCTACCTCCCGCTCATGGGCATCGACAATGATAACATCCATTCCTTCGATGACTAGTCTACTACTAATGCGGAAGGGGTAATTAGTGCGACTCCCCGACCATGACTGCAGCTCTCTCGCAGCTAGCAAGCGTGGTCGGAAGCTTCCGGGAAATTAAGCCAGAGAGCCACATGATCGCGCGGTTAACTCCAGAAGTCAATGAAGTAGTTACTCTGACTGTAACTCTTACTCAATTGAGCGGACTAAACTAATTAACTAACAACCACAACTAGTCCACTCTGACTCCGACACTGAGCGACACGGATGAACATCCCTGCTCCTGGAAAGCTCAATCAGTAACAATCACGTACGGTAATGTATCGCCCGGAGTCTTTGCCTGGTGCGACGGTAATGTTGTGCATTTCAACCATTCCCCGGGGAGGCGCTTTATTTTCCCCCCCTTCTCTTGCCCAACCGGGAATATCCCTCCATCGATCTATCAATTTTATTCATTCAGCGCGCCCGGGCGAACATCCTTCCCATCATTTGTTTTGTTTTGATTTGGTCTGGCCTGGTCTCGGTCTGGATCTCACTCAACGCCCACAACCCGCCCGGGCTGCGCTCTGCGCTGCAGGCGCGGGCTCTCGGCTCGCCGCATGCGTGTGCACCACAGCCCCAGTGACGCCCTGGTGCCCTCACATGTATCATGCGGGAATATCTATGTCTAGTTTTGACTACATCATTGTATGTGCTCTGCTCTGTACGATTGAATGACATCATGGGCATAGCAAAGCCACATTGTAGAGTTTTGTGCGATGGTGCACAATGTGCCTTGTTGGGGTATTGTTGTATTGTTGGTTGCGTCTAGACTCTGGTGGATGTTACCTTGGGTTATCTGCATGGGGAGGAATGGAACAACATAATGTGATATTTGTATTATTGGTAGAGAAAATCATTTGAAGATTAGCGATGACTTTCCGACATTTGAAGCAGCTAAAGACTAGTAACCATGCAAGCAAAATACCCCATATCTACTCTACTTCGTAGTAAGATTATCTAGCTCTGCCATACCAACAACCCTGACTTCTTTGTCCCCTGAGATCTTAGTTCCTTCTTCCCCCTCCCCTTCATCCTACTCGTCCTTCTCCTTGACCGACTTCTTCTTCGGCACGCGCACCAGCCAGTACAAGAAAACTGCTGCAATGGCGTTAAACACAATGAACGCGAAGAGAATACCCACATTACGCCACCGGTCCGAGTAGCTCATGCTCAGCGCGCTCAGATACTGGTCGGTCTTCGAGATCGAGCACACGAGGCATTCGCTGTTGTCTTCGGGATTGAGTAGAGTCGCTTGGTAATTGCGAACGTATGTGTCTAGATAACTGGAGCAATTTTGTCCCGTTGGAGGTGGGATATGCAGCAGCTCTATATCGGAGCACTCGACGTCGTTTCCTGCGATGCCTACACTTAAGACGGAGGATACCAGGTAGGTGAAGGGTGAAACCCGGTACATGAAGATCCAGAAGCGAGGAAGGGCAGATGGGGTGGCCAGCACGCTATATTCACGACGGTCAGTCTTCCTCACAGACAAACGATGCAGTATGACTTACCCGTTAAAGATCAGGCAGAACGAGAACAGAAGTTGGGCGACGTTACTACCTGTATCTGGTTGCTCGATGCCGGCGATAACCATGGAACTGAATGTTGAGGTAAACACCATGAAGATCAGGACGAGAAGAAACATGGTTCCACCTCTTTCGGTGACCGAGTCCGTTGGAATGGCGTTGCGGTATAGGCCAATTGGATAATACCAGCAGAAGTACGCCGGGACTGCCATAAGTATGTTCCAGGGCAACTCAACCAGAATACTGGCTAGCATGAATGCTACCCAAGAATATGTTTTGGAAGGCCGTTCTCGTACTTCATAAAGAGCTCGCTGTCTTGCAAAGTATGGCATCATCTGTTGCACCAAGTTGGGAAAGATGACTAACAGCATGAAAATGGCAAACATCTCGTTTTGCAATCCTTGAAGACTGTTCGGCTCTCGCCAGAATGTGAAGCCAATAAAGATCGGCTATGGTGACCGGTTAGCTCTGCAAACCGAGAGGGCCACGAAGTACTTACTGGTATAACGCACATGGCAGCCTTTGAGTAGATGTATGATGGACTACGCCAATATTGTTGGAACATCCGCTGCAGGCAAAGGACAAACTGCGCCCAAAGAGGCATGGCAAACGCTCCATATCCCACCATCCGAGGTGGTGGTGGCCGCTGCAGTAGTTCCTGCTTCATCTCGACAAGGTCTAGGCGTACTTGAGTGCGCTCAGGGCTTTGATTCCATACCTCCGTCCAATCACGATCAGCATGGGAGCCTGGGGCAGCTCCGATTACTTCCAACATCCACTCGGCGGGGTTAGCGTTGGGGGGACATTTCACAGAGCCCTTTGCCTCGAAGTACCTTATCAAGGTCTCCATGTTCTGGCCAAGCTCCCCAAAGTACACCGTCTTACCACCTTTTGCTAGGAACAGCAGCCGATCGAATTGCTGCATGAGGATTGCTGATGGTTGATGAATGGTACATAGAATCGCTTGCCCGTGATCTGCTAGCTTTCGCATGAGGGAGCAGATAGACCATGCGGTTTGACTATCAAGTCCCGAGGTGGGCTCATCAAAGAACAGAAGAAGGTCAGGCTTGGCCGCGATCTCTACTCCGATCGTCAACCTTTTCCTCTGTTCAACGTTCAACCCCTCACCCAAAACCCCGACAATAGCTTCTGCGTAAGCTTCCATGTTGAGCATTTTGATTACCTCCTCCACGTACGCAAGCTTTTCTTTTCGCGGTGTAGTAGCTGGCTGACGAAGTAGTGCGCTGAAAACAAGGGCTTCCCGCACCGTGGTTGTTTCCAAGTGCAAATCTTGCTGTTGGACGTAACCAGTCTTTCTCTGGAAAGAATCATCCCGCATCCTTCCATCAATTAGCATATCCCCAGTAACCACTCCCATGGTTACCCGATTAGCTAATACGTCGAGGAGAGATGTTTTCCCAGCTCCAGTTACACCCATCAAGGCAGTAAGAGTGCCTGGTTTGACCCATCCATCCACATGATCAAGAATTCTGCGTGGCTTCCCCTTGACCTTGATATCGTAGCAGACATCTTGCCAGTGAAAGATGGATGTTTGTTTGACAATTGCGGCTGTATGGTCAACACCCTCGCCATCGACGGCGTACTTCTCTGATGTGGGGTAGCTTTCCACATCCCCGACACCAGGGATTCGTCGTGCAAATGCAGGAATCTTCCCGCGAGGAAATACCAAGATCTCGCCTTTCGAAGGCTTCGCGCGGACCAGCTCACTGCTAATGATGTAAAGTGCGAGGGAGAAGAACAGAAAGCCCAATAGAATGCCATAGTTGCGCCAGAGATGCGATTTGTAGTATTGGAAAGAGACATTCAGGTATCTGTCGCCATCAATGTAGTCTTGACCGGCTACGGCACCATTCTGGCTGCAGATCTTGGAGCTAATAGGAGCATTTTCGTAGCCTGGGCCCGAAGGTACATACACTGCGCACGGGAAGCGACGCTCACTGAATTCGTTAATCATGAGAGACTCGAAAGCATACTACCTCAGTGTTAGCGATGGTTATAAGGCTCGAGTAGTGCTGGTGTCGAATTGCAAGCAAGGTAAGGGCGTTGTATCATTGCCCAGCTATATGGGTGCACTTACAGCTATTGGGTCCAAGTAATTCAACCATCGGAACCATGGATGCATATTGCGGACCGGAATGGTGAAACCCGTATATATCACGAGAATCAGCATGAATATCGAGGAAGGTACCATGGCCTGGGCCATAGATCGCGAAATCGCTCCCGTCCAGCGGAAGATGTTAGACATGGTCAAAGTAGTTGTCACGGAGAATAGGTAGAACACGAAAAAGTGCCCAGGGGTACGGCGTAGATTAGACATGAAATAGAGAAATAGATTGAATACCACTGATACGATCGCTTTCGACGGGAGATCAACAATCATGGAGCTGATTGCTTCTGCAGATGGATGATAGAGAGCATACTTATCATGCTTCTCTACAATGGGTCGTTGCTGCCATAGAGTGAGGATCTCGAGCGCGCTTGCAAATCCGTTCAGCAATATTGCAAAGAAGATCAGTGCTCCTCGTTGGAAAAAGCTATCTGTCGTCGGTCCAAGGTTGTAGAAGACGCTGGAGATAACCAAGGCCATGACACTATTTCCGATAACACCAGCCAAGGTCATACTCATGTCACCCTTGAGACGCTGAAAGCCTCTACGGAGACACAGCCGAACTTGCATAGGGTACGATAGTGTGTAGGGTGATTTGGCCCGTGTCCTTTTGGCCTTTTCAGCCGCGCGAGAGCGGTTGAATTCTTTCAACTTTTCACCTCCTAGAGGGAACTCATGCTGGAAAGCCTCGATGTCAGCGAGCAGCTGCCTTCTCTCAGTGCTCGCTCTCCACCGCGCAGCAAACTCATCAGGGGTGCGAGGTACCAAGCGCTCGTAGCCTTTGCGGACCTTTCTTTCCGTTGGACTGGTCAGGGAAGTCAGGAAATCAGCAGTGGTCTGTCTGTCTGGGCATTCAAATCCCATTTCGATGAAGAAATGCCTGGCATCCCCGGAGCGCCCGAAATATATTTGCCGGCCTTCATAGAGAACAATGACCTTATCAAATATATCATAGATAGCTTGGCTGGCTTGGTAGATTGCCACAATTGCGGTAGACCCTGTATAGTCCGTGGAAAGCCGCAACTTCCGGACGAACTCCAAGGCCGTTGAGCTATCCAGACCGCGCGTACTATTGTCCCAACATTGCAAAGGACAACCACACAAAATAGTCTCAGCTATACTGACACGCTTTCTTTCCCCTCCGGACACTCCCCGGATGTACTCATTACCCACCCGCGTGTTTATGGTGTGGCTCAGACCCAACATTGCCATAACAACATCACGCATATGGGTTGCGTACTGCTCTCTGGTAACACCCGGGAATCTGTTGGATGGTGCACGAGCATGCGCCGCAAAGTGCAACGTATCCCCTACCGAGAGTTGAGGGAAGTGAATTTCGGTCTCTGCTTGGTAAATGACTTCACCCCGGAAACGGCTATGCATTTCATCCCAGGATATACCCTGATACTGAATGTCGGTTCCGTGGTCGAGCCATAAGCCGTGAGTCTCGCCTGCGATAGCCTTAAGGAAGGTTGAGCAGCCACTATAAGTATCGTCCGTTAGCAACATGGACTGCATAGAAATCGACACGGTGTAACTGAGGGGCCGCAGAGCAGCACTGCATGAATTACCTTCCAGGACGGCCAAGCACAACCAGCAGCTCTCCGCTGTGGACGAATCCCTCGAAGTCACGAAGAATATCAATCCTGACTTTCTTCCCATAGCCGAGCTTTTTGCGAAACCAACCAAATCCTTTCAGCCACATGTTTGCGACATTTGCCTGGTAATCAGCAGCGGTTCCGTAGCCGAAGACGTTCATGTTCCGGAAGGAGACACCAGCCGTGCGGCGAGGATAGCGATCTGGATCACGCGAGGTGATCCTGAGCAAGTTTTTCGTCCATTTTAGCGAGTTGAACTGCTCCGAATTGGGGTCCAGCTCGGGGTCGCTAGTAGGATCCAGGAATGTATTCGTTCCCTCGCCGATGCCGCTCTTGCTAGATAAGTGTGAAAGGCTACGCGCCAGTGCGGTTATCGCCTGCTGATCTTCCCGTCTGATGCTATCTTCCGATTCCAAGCAAGCGGAATCTGAGCTCTCCGTCTGTCCCCCGGAGGTGAAGGCCGCGCGCATCGAACTTTCCAGCTCCGAGCCCACCGCAGCGGTGATAGCCCGGGTCCCAAAGGGCGCAGGTGGTGCTGGCTGGTTAGCCATGACAAATGTCAACAATCTGGGGTTACGCAATTCATAGTAGGGCACCAGAAAAGCAAACGAGCAACGGTAAGACAAGACACAGAGATGCAGGAGGCACAATCAACACCAAAAGAAAAGGGCAGGAAGGAAAGAAGGACCGAGGAGTCGAGTTCAAGGTGGTCAGAAATAATCAAAGGGGTCCTAAAGTTTCAGTGATTCAATAAGGTTCGTTACCTGGTACATTGTCGATGGTCTCGAAACCCGGAAGACGGAAAGCCAGCATCCGAATTCACATGGCGTCAGGCTCAAAGAGCTACCTGATCCTTGTCTGGTGATGCAGGCCCGTATCCGCTGAAAGTTACTTAGTATGATGAGTATTCAGGTACACATGGCTCTCCTTTTCTTCCCCGGATCAAGATCAACCCTATGCTGTTAAATGCTCTACCACAACATCATGACCATCTCCTACATATGATGAGCTCATGAACAGAAACAAGGGCATATATGAGGTAGCTTGTAAATGACTCGTCGGAGATTCCAAATAACAAAAAAGGTACTTTTTCCGGTTCCATCATCAAGTCGTATTCATCATCGACCTCCATTCGGTCATCGTTCATTATCTCAGCGTCACTTCCGCGGAAGGTTCTCAACGCCGGTCCTGATTGGATGCGTATTGGATGCGTATCTCGGGGGCTTTTTAGCTCTGCATCCGCCAAACCCCACCGTTACCCCGGATCTAAACCCTTCCGAGCTGTCAGAATAGTTACCACGGATGACGGTGAGCCACTGCCACCCTGCCATAATACTATTCCCCTGTAAATGGGACAATGAACTATGGATCGCTTTGGGATGCCTGATATTCATTGCTCTATAAGGTTACAATTCCACTCCAGGCTGTCCGTGCTTATTCATCGGTCTGGCGTCTGTAACTAATCGATACCGATACCAACCCTCCCCTAGTCAGTGTTGGAGATATGTCTCTACACCTGGTACCAGTCTCTAAATCAATTGATGTTAGATCGAGCTGGCATTCGGGAGTATAGTATTCCGATTCCATCAGTGACAAACATCAAGCAGGTAGCGAAGGATACCCGCCACTGTTAGGTTCGATCATTGGAAAAGGGAGCTCATGGTGATAACATCACAGTCAGATGTTGTTATTCTCTTTCATAAGGCCTAAGAATCAGGTAGGGAGTATCAAACGGACTGCTCTAAGAATAGATATGGGCTGTAACAATGCTCCTGGTAGTACAGCATTGGTATACATCATGGGATTTCAGCTGTTCCTGAACATAGTACACCAGAGGTCGCATTAATGTTCTATCATACTTTCCTGGTAATGCACCACTGTGGAAGCTACCTATATGACTAGAGTGAGTAAGTTTCAGGTTGAGACTTCAGCTCATGGCATCCTTAAGACTGAAATGATGATTGTGTTCCTAGTATTACTACTTGTCATTATATTCAGATTATGATTATGACTCACTATTGGTAACTAATTATATCTGTACGTAATCTTTATAAACTTTCTATCATTGTGTCTGTCTTACCCTCCTCACGGACTTCACAATGCCCACACGTACTCAATAGTAGTATGACGGTTTCTATATATATCTGTATCCTTGCAGTTAATCCGGAGGAGACAGCAAGATCAAAACAAGGGTTTACAGTATGTTATGAGTGCCATAATACGAACCTAGAATTCGAATCAAGTGAGCTACGAGGTAAATCAAGGACATAAGACATAAAGTTGATGAGGGTTTGTCGATTCTTTGACTCCGGGACCATTTAGTTACCATGGAGCGGGATGAGTCTCGTGCTCGGCTCGGGTAAGACTGAGCCTCCGCCATACTTAGCCAACTACTATGTACTGCAGTATCAATGATAATGGTTTACGCTAAGATAAAAGACTGCAATTGCAGCATTTTGCAGCATTTTGTTGTCAAGCTAATGGCTAGCTTGCTGTGCAATGGTACAATTTGTGGTGACCGCAAGCAACAAACGCTGCGGATTTGATGTCCGGATCAATCAAAACTTCGTGGAAGTTCAATCAGTGTCATACCATGATTTCCAAGATTGTCACATTTACCGAGTACGAGGCGAGAGATATCTTCCATGTAAATTGACTGGACCACTCACATTCCTGCCGACAATCAGGCATACAGGCATGAAAGACACCGTTTAGCATCAGGCATAGAAGATGAGAACTGACCGCCTACCCAACCGGCACAGCGAATTAACTGCTAGTAGTAAGAGTTAGGAGAAGAGGGAGTGTCCACCGGCACAAAAACAACCACCAAACGGACTGACGGACTGTTACTCCAAGACCAGATCATCAATCCTCCCTCTCTCTCTTTTTCCCTCCGTTTATCTTTCACACCTTTCCCCACCCCCTTTCCCCTCCACCTAATTCTCCCCCTCCTTCTGCCTCCTGGCCCTACTGCTTCGTTTCATCTCGAACCATATTCTTTCCGACCGTGGGACATCCCCCTCCCCCTTGTCTGCTGGGGTATGTCTAGAGGTGGATCTCTTTTCCCCGGACCTCCTTGTTAATTGTGGTCGGCCGACGTCCGGATGAGGCTCGACCTCCCATCGTTACCAACAATCCACTGTTGGTGGTAACTGGTCCTACGACTAGTTCCTACATCTTATCTCGTGGTGGTAAGGCTGGCCTTGATCGGATCGGGGCTTCCGGTGGTCTCTGTCGGTGTCTTGAAGTGAGCCGATCTATCTTCACTCAACCCGGGAGAATCCTTCCCAGGCCGTTCGGAGCCTCGTCTTCCTAACTCTCCTTGTCGCGTGCAGTCATCCTTGTCCAACCTGCCGTCCACTGCCCGCTGGGCCTCCTTGAACAACCATGGCGCACTACCAGAATGGTTATCCATCCTACAATCAACCGTCCGGTTCCCCACCGAATCCTACCCAGCACAACCGCTATGATCTCTATCCCACCCAGCCGACGAGCCCACAGTTACGAAGGATGCCCAGTTATAATGTGGGGGACGACGCGGGTCTCTTGGGCTCCCCTAATTCCCAGAACGTCAGGTCCACCGAGGTGAATGCTCGCTATCCGGGCTGGAATGCACAGGCAGAGGGTCAATCGAGCTACAATGTCCTGAATACTGGACGCGATGACTACGCAGACCCTCGATACGCGCACGTCCCTGCGCCCACTTCGCCTCAGTTGTCGCGCGCCCGGGCTTCCTCGCAATCAAGTTACCAATATCAATATACCTCGTCGGTCCCGGCTGCCACATCACCTACCCAGCATGCATATAACCCTCAGCAGTATGCCTTGCCCCCTACACCATCGCAGCAGCAGGTAGGCTTCAGCCCGCTGGCGTATACTGGGTCCAGCACCTCGTATAGCAGCGCAACAGCCACCGGTCACCAGCCTTATAATCCAGCCGCCTACCAGCCTGCTAGCTTCGTCGCATCCCCCGTGCAAAGACAGCCAACCAGCGCTTTTGCACATGCCCCCCCTACACCCCAAACTTGGGGCCCTCCCCACCCGCAGTTGCCGCCCCCTCCACCTCCTCGGGGACCGGACCATCCATATGGAAGCCGTCCTTCCCCCCAGTATGGAAATGCTTCGCCAGGTATGCAGTATGGGTTCACAACCCAGCAGGCATCATCCTCAACCACACTCTCATCTGGCTCTTTATCCTACGGCACAGCATCACCTTCTACAACTAGTGCTACCTATATATCTGCCAACAGCTCTTCTACTGCTGGTTCTGCGAATGTTGCAAGCCACCCCTACGCCGGAGGTGCCCAAGTTCCAACCTACATGCCGCAGTCGCCGCCCCACCCTGGAGATGTCACTACTTCGTTCGATGAACAGCCTCCTGCACCGCCAGCTCACTCGACACCCACCGAGGAAGCCTTCGGCAAGCGGTCTAGTTTGACACGCCCCGGATCAGGCCGATCCCTTCCAACACCGCCGATCTATCCCTCTCAAACTCAAATGTCACCGCGTAGAACAGACACTTTGACCCGACACCCGCAGTCGCGCCCGTTACCTGGCCCACCAATTGATGCAGATGTAGATTCAGAGCCCTATATGGCTGCCAACGGACATGGAAGCCGGGATAGTCGACCAAGTACTAGGCCTGGCTATGATGAGCTGATGCAACAGGTCGAGGCTGCAGTTGCGGATCGACGGACGGCTGGAGAGTCTGGCTATAGCTTGGATTCATCACATGTGAATCCTCACAGTGCATTGGTCCTGGAACCATCGAATAGCGTTTCACCGGGCCCGCGGCTGTCCCCTGACGAGAGACATACTCACACTAATGGCAGCATCGCCACTGGCACTGGCCAATATGTGAACTACGATGCGTATAGCGATGATAGTGATGCGGAGGCTGCTGCAGGTCTAGCTATGCTGCAAATGGCAGATGAGGAAGACAAAGCACAAGCCGAACGCTTGCAAGACCGTGCGCGACGGGAGACGACTGCTTCTATCATAAGTGCATATGGATCGCGGTCAGAGAATCGCGTACCGTCTCCTCAGCAAGATTGGCAGCAGGATGAGTTGGGGTCATATGACGACAACTATCGTCGTGCTTCACAATATGACGAGACGGATCACTACGCAAATGGCCATAATGATGATGCTGGTCATCCTAGGCTTGCGCCCTCTTCCGGCTCTATGAGAGGTTCTAACCCCTTTGCAGACGGGCATGAGGAGTATTCGGATGATTACGACTACCCGCCTACAGCGCTCGATGATTCTGGATATCCGTACAATGACATGCAACATCATGCACGAGTGGACGCTGGTGGCACCGGTGGCCTGTCGGAACCTGGAGCGTACGGACGCCGGATGAGTTTCGATTACGGTGATGAGACCGACGGTCCCTTCTCCGAAAATAATGGTTTGCAACACTCGGGAAGTGAGAGCTCAGGCAGGGGAGAGGAACCTGGGGACCTCTTCTTCCATCCTGGCATGCGACCGCTTCCACCGGCTCCCGTAGAGCCGGCAAGTAATCCGAACTTAATGTCGCATTTGATGCCGGCAGGGACATACCGGCATCACGAGCAGGGTGATGGGCGGGGCTCTACCCAGTATACATCTTCCCAATTCCCTGTTGCTCCAGATTCGTACGCTTCTTCGACCGTGTCCAGCCCTACCCAAGTTCCACGGTCGACTTCTTTGTCGAGTCATCCAATTGGACCTCGTACTGACCCCCCTATCAGATCGAAAACCGATGCAGACCGGGCGAAGTATAAACAGCAACAGGAGCTATTACGGCAGCAACAGTATGGCGCGCTCAAGCTTGACGTTTCCCCGGATGCTGCTGCTGCCATGACGCTTGATCTGCCCACCATCCCTGCGGGACGCCGTAAGAAGTTCAACCCAACAAAACTGTCTTCAGAACAATTCCGACGCTGTACGGAGCCATGGGCGTTAAGCTCCATCCTAGCTTGGATTCGAGAGCTCAGCGAAGATGAGACGGATCTAAAGGAACATGCGATTGTTGAGGCAATTGTTGCTTTGTTCACCCACAAAGTACCGACGATGAATATGGCCGATGCAGAAACTTTAGCCGCACGGGTAGTCAAGAATATGCTGGCGGAGGGAGCCTTGGTGAAGGATGAAGAATGGGTCAAATTCAGCACTGGAAGTTTGTCAGGCGTCCTATTCCAGATAACGGGCACAGGGTGCTACTCCTCCCGCCTTCACGAACAGGAGGCGGAAGTGTTCGGACGTTGCTATTCGCACCACTGCATGCGCACTTTGAAAAAGGTCAATCTCAAAGCGCAGATGATGGAGCCGGAGAAGAAAGCAGAAGACTGGGTGACTTTTTACAAGGTCCCCAAGGAGGTGTGGGAGACGCACTCCAAGAAAGAGATCGATCGACAGAACAATTTGCACGAGATTGTGACAACCGAAGATTCTTACATTTCACAACTGGATGTTTTGCGCGAGCTCTATCGGGATCAGCTGGCAAATATGCAACCGTCGGTAATCGCACCGAAGCGCCTGAACCGGTTTTTGAACGATGTCTTTGGGAAGGTGGATGCTGTCAAAAAGGTCAACGAAGACCATCTCTTGGCTCAACTCAAGTACCGGCAGAAAGAACAGGGTCCATTCATTGCTGGATTCAGTGATATTTTTCGGGAATGGATCCGAAAGGCAAAGATGGCCTATGTCGACTACGCGGCAACGTTCCCGAATGCCAATTACGTGGTACGCAAGGAAGCCGAGAGGAACGTTCATTTCCGGCAGTTTCTTAGCCAAGTTCGTGACCACAAGCTGTCGAATCGTCTCAGCTGGGACACGTACCTCAAAGCTCCCATCACTCGTATCCAGCGGTACACCCTGCTCCTCTCGACAGTGCACAAGAACATGGTGAAAGATTCCGAGGAGAAGGCAAATCTCGCACAAGCGATTGATGAGATCAAGATGGTGGCACTTGAATGTGATCATAAGGTGGGTGAGATGAGTAGGAAGGTTGATCTCATGGAGCTTTCTACCAAGCTCCAGCTCCGTCCTGAGATGAAGAAGGACGTTGAACTCAACCTGGAGCATCTGGGCCGCGAAATCGTCTTCCGGGGAGACCTGCAGCGGCCAGGGACACGGACAAGATTCTTGGTGGACACTCACGCCATACTCTTCGACCATTACTTGGTCCTTGCGAAGGCCTTCACAGCTAAAGACACGTCGAGAAGTGTGAAATATGAGAGCTACGATGTGTCCAAATTGCCAATCCCCATGGATCTTTTGGTTCTTGAGAGCACCAATGATGACCCGGTCGTGAAGTCTGCGGTCCGCGGAGTCGTGGCGCAATCACCAGCCGCCGTTGCTGGCCGTGGTGCTGCCGGCGGGCCTTTAACCCATACCGCCAGCGGCAATTCTGGCAGCTCGGGTAACTCGAACGGAGGCAGAGCTCTGGTACCTGCCACGGTTCTGGAGAGTTCCAAAGACGATAAAATCCTGTATCCGTTCAAGGTTAAGCATCTCGGGAAAGCCGGAACCTATACACTCTATGCTTTTTCGGCCCAAAACAGGCAAGACTGGTGCGACAAGATAACCGAGGCGAAGACCAAACATGCTGCCGCCTTGTTCGCGCAGAATGCGGAGCCGTTCAGGTTGCGTGTTCTCGCTGACACTGCATTTGGCACCTCCGACAACTCGTACATCCCTACTGGTGTTATTATTGACGGGACGCCTCTTGATCGTGCTATTAAGGACGTGGAAGAGCGGTACCATGGCTCTCCACGGCCGGCGCCAGTTTGCCGGACTGGCGTCCACTGTGCCACTGTTTTCCAGCAGCCCCCTGGTCGGATGAGATGCGCCATCGGCACTGACTATGGTGTGTATGTTTCGGACTACAATGACCCTCGTGGCTGGACTCGGGTAAGTAGCTCTTTGCAACCACATGTGTCGTCTACACACCGTCCTCATACTAATTGTGCTTCTAGGTTATACCCATTGTACGCGTGACACAAATTGCTGTCTTCGAAGAATTCAACGTGTTCCTGCTCATTGCAGACAAATCGCTGATTGCTTACCACCTGGATGTTGTGTGCCCTCCGAGCGGCGTTGCAGCACAGGCAACAACGGACTCCTCACGTCGGGCGCCGCAGAAACTATCGGGCAGTCGAGAAGTAGGTTTCTTTGCAGCAGGGCACATGAAAGACCGGACTTTGGTCATGTACAAGAAGCGAGATGGGTTATCGTCCACTTTCAAGGTTTGTGCTGTCGTCGCCTCCCACATTGTTTCGCATACTCATCAGTCTACAGATACTTGAACCAGTCGCGCAAAAGTCGTCGAGCAGCAGAAGCCGCCTTTTCTCTCGTCGTTCGCAGACGGAGTTCTTCCGGGAGTACGATGAATTCTACATTCCCGCCGAGAGCTATGGCATGAATCTCTTCCACTCTTCCTTGGCGATCTCCACTCAACGTGGCATCGAGATTCTCACGATCGACAAGAAACATACGTGGTCGGTCCCCGATTTCCGATCCGAAGCCCCTCCTGAAGCGCAAGCCCATCTGAGCAGTATAGCCCAGCGGATTGGTGCTCTACGCCCACTAGGCATGTTCCGCCTCAGTGACAGTGAGTTCCTGGTCGTATACACTGAATGTGCAGTGTATGTGAACAAACATGGCGATGTGTCGCGCAGCGTGGTCATGGAATTCGTGGGGCATGCCCACTCTGCATGTCTCTACGGAAGGTTCCTCATCTTGTTCAATGATGACTTCGTTGAGGTGCGTAATGCAATGAACGGCCGCCTACGTCAGGTAATCCCAGGCCACGGTGTGGTCTGCCTCGACGATGGCAGCCACATGCCGGGTTCTGGTGCAAACAGCATCCCTACAAGCGCCGGGGGTGCTGTCAATCTCTCCAGCGGGTTATCCAACGGTGCTTCTCTGGCAAACAATGGCCGCACCGTGAAGATATGCATGCAACATCCCGAATACGAGCGAAGTCAATTGATTCTCGAGTTGATCGAGAACGAAGGGCAAAAGGACTAAATTCCTCACTAGCGTGGCACTTGTGCGGAATGTCCTTCCTACCTATGCCAGCTTACAGCTTCCTTCAATTTCTACCCTACCTTTTCCCCCTTTCTCTTCAACTTCTCTCTTACCCCATTATTATTTATTTTTGACTCTATACCCCCATTATTTCCCTTCTCAATTTCATGGTGAATATATTTCCTTTCCCCATTTTCATGTTTCTTGCCGTACTCCAGGGCAGTTTTCTTTTTTTGGGCCATGGCCATTGAGTACGGGTTTGTTCGATCTTGTACATACATAGTTGGCATAGTCAGTCAGACATACATAAGATAGCCTCGCATTGTAATGCATAAAACTCAGTTTTGGTGCCGTTTACCTCACCTCATTCGTACGTGTAATACAAGGTATAGTATGTATATTCGGAAGCCAAAAGAGACGGCTTGGTCTCTTCCGGTAGCTGTAGCATATGTTCCAGTTTGCAGCTACTAGGTCAGATGAAGCCTGGCTGGTGAATGGCTATACTATGCTGCTTTGTAGCTTACAGTGTGATTCTTTTACGATTTACACCACATGTTTTGTCATAATCGCAAAGTAAGGTAGATCTTTGTTTGTATTGCGGGGGGATGCGATAACAACATGGTACATGCATGCATACATACAATAGATCTTCCAGAAACAATCAGCAGACGTCTAAACGAGGATAGACAGCAATTGTATGGGGTTATGACCGGCAGTTGAGTAACCAGTGGAATAGATGTAAAATCATGACACAGACAATGTAGGAGATAGGGTGAGAGAAAGATTCGAAAGAAGATGGGGTAGGTGGGCGCGGGGGAAGTGATGTGATTGATAGATGGTAGTGACGGGGGGTTGGAATTTACGATTCGAACTCGACCTTGCTGATGACGTTGTGTTCGGCTTGACTTGGCTCATGGGGGCTCTGGGATCCTTGTGCTGTTGTGTGCTCATGTTCGTCTTTGTCGTCGAGTAAGGATACATCATCCTTACCACGCATGCTGATGACTTCGGCTCCCTCGAGCAGATCGCGATCTGCGTCTCTGACGCTTCGTCGCTCGGGATCTGCGCCGTAGGCACCTGCGCCCCAGCTGGAGATGCCGCCGACCATGGCGGATGCGGTAGCAACGCCGCCGCGACCATCATATTCTTCCTCTTCGTCTTCTTCGTCGTCGTCGCGGTTGAGGGCGGTGCGCTCCAGTTCGCGTTGCGCTTCGTCCATTCGCTTCTTGACTTCGGCGGCCATGCGGATACCGTCTGATACGATGTTGTCTAGGACTCCGCGGAGACCCTTGCCTGGTGGTACGATACCGCCCGAGGCTCCTGCCACCGAGGCACCGGCTGCTGCGCTGGACTGAGGTTTGGGTACGCCAATGTTGGAGAAGGTGGTGAGGTTGGATGAGAGAGACGCGGAGGCCAAAGCTTGTAATCCATGATCGGAAAGGCGGAATGATTGTGGGAAGAATGTATCGAAGAATTGCTCCAACAGTTCATCAGCAAGAATCACCATGCGGAAGGTGGGGAGGGTAATGTGTAGAGGATTGTTCGGATCGAGGGCGGGGTTTGCAGATTCTGAGACGGCACGATTATGCTGCTGCGTGTTGGGTTTGTCTTCATTCGATTGCTTTGCCGGTGTTTCGGTTTCAGCCGACGCAGTCGATTTGTTGTCTTCATTGACATCAATGAGATCTTCTTCATCATCATCACCGATGCTGAAGGACCCAAGCTTATCGGCTGTTTCCTCTGCATCCGCCTGATCCTTCTGCTCTTCAGCTGCTCTGCTGTCCGGATGGCTAGGATCTGCGTATTCGAAACAACGACGGATGAAAGAGCTGACACTGCCCAAGAAACGTTCGTCTGTGCTCAGTCTATCCGGGTCACGTTCACTCGTCTTGATATCTTCCACAGACTGCGTGGGAGAAATGGCTCCGTCAAAGCCTCGCCGAGAAAGGAACAGAAGCGCCTCTGACATGCGAAGAATGCCTTCTCTATCCACCCGTCCAGTGCCTTCGTCATCGTAGAGGTCGAAAAAGTATTGGATGTTGTTCATGATGTCGCGAGGCCCTTTGAGTCTTGCAAGGCCGTTGACCACGTTTTGCAAACTCAGACCTTCGTCGGGATCCGTTGCCCATTTCCGGAAAAGTCGTCGTGTAAACTCATGATCTGCTGCTTCGGGCTTGTTATTCCACAACGAAGAGGTTTTGCCCCAGCCCTTCAGGCTGTTGAAGCCCTGCTCAGCCGACTCCTTTCGTGAAGGGGGCGAGTCTGCCACTGCCCATTTTGCTGTGGCTGCGAGGAATTCCCGGAAAGCGTCATAATCCATATGGGTGGGACTAGGACCAAGGCCAACACGACCGACCTCTCTATCCACTGGAGGCCCAAGGATTGATGTTCTCTCAACCCGTTTCTTTTCCTGGCGCCTCTTTTCCTCGTCCAAGAGTTTCTGCCTCTGCTGATGGTCATAGAGAACCTCGTAGTAACGGTCATAGATGACGCCAAGATCATCCATGCTCAGCTTCTTACTGTCTGGCCCGAGATTACGGATGGATGTCCGTTTGGCGAAACTTTCAATGTTCTCCAGGACGGCATCCTTGTGCTTTTCACGCTGTTCCGTAATCGTCTGGTGAGTGATCTGGGAGAATTCTTTGAAGGCCACAACCATAAGCTCCTGGAACCGGGTGATGGCCCTCAGCTTGGGATTCTCAGACCTCGGATGGGCCGACTCATCGAGGCGCGAGAAGTATGCCTTGAGGACGGAGATAAATGAACCATCATCCTGGATATCCAAAAGCTCCTCGCCATTGATCCGAAGGATGGCCAAGCCAACCTGGAAGAGAACCTTGGGCCCTTCAAGGAAAAATACATCCAGTACACGGAAGGCGAAGACTAGCGGCATGGAATTGATATAGAGGGAAAGGAACCATGGGAGAGAGACAACGGATAGCTGCACATCAGACTTCGTGAGGTGGTCCCAGAGCACGGGCATAGTTTTCTCGACCAGAGATTCAAACACTTTCTGATCGAGCAATGTGCCATACATTGTCGTGGAGTAGTAGCCGGGAAGGAGACGATCGCAAAGTACAGACAACAGAAAGAAGGCTTGTGCCTCGGACATGTAACTGGAGGGGTCAGCTTCACTTCCAAAATCAAAATTGGGAAACGAACATCAAGAGAGCCGCAACGACTATGTTCATGGCTTGACAATATCCGATCTCCGCATTGGTCCAACTGTAGGCAGTGAGGACCCTCCGAAGGCGACCAATACCTTCTTCGCTCTGGAAACCAGCATACTCAGGCAAGCTGCGGTTTAAGTCTTTCTCGATCTCATCAATCGCCAAAGACTCCTGCCCAGAGAACTTGGAGAGCGTCTCGGAGTACAACTTCGGAGATCTCAGGCGAAGGTAGAGCGAACCCGACGTCACCTCCCAGATCTCGCCGCGAAGACGATTGGGCAGACCGACTCTGATCAACTTATGGAAGGTCGGCTGACGGATGATAGTGGCGTTGCGGCCATTCTCTATTATATTACTTAACAAGAGTCCCAATACATAGCACTCGGGCTGGGCTGCATACCTCTGAAATATTCTCCCCATAGTCTCATCTTACTTCGATCCCGAAGCTTGCGAGCATCACCGGGATAACGGAATATCATTCCCAGCCCAGCATCGGGTGGCTGGCGCTGTTCAGTTGTCTCGCCATTTTGGGCTTTTGACTTAGCACCAGACAGTAGATATTCCGAGTAACAGTCGTTTACGACAACGCGCAGGTTCTCAATTTCCTTCATACACTCGCGCAGTCCCTTCTTCAAACCATCGCAAAAGCGTTCGCAGGCCTGCCTGCTTCCAGCCAGCTGGATTGTGAACCTTTGCGGAACAAAGTCGGGGCTTTGCTTTCCGAGCGCACCATTCCATGTCGTCAACGCAAGGGAGAAGACATGGCTAAGACTGTTAAGCCGTTCCACCCTCCGGATGCAGCAGAGCGGAATAGTGAATCCATTTCCAGAAGGGCCTGTGCCGTTGGTTTGACCGGCCCAATGGGTTGATGCCCCAAGACTAGCAGAGGGCGCGAAGCTGGTCGGCTGGGTCGAGAAACAGATGAACCGTTCGCTCAGATGGAGTCTGCCGGCATAGCGGTTCCCAGGGCGCTCAACAAAAGGGCGATTGGATTCTCCATGAGACGGTGACGAGGTATGAGGAATAGGGAGAATGAGCTCTGCGGTGATCTCTTGCAGCGGGTTTTGAGAATCGGGGAGGCGGAACTGCTGGCGAAACAGGGAGGCTTTGGACGGATTGCGATCGGAGGAGGAGAGGGTAGGAAGCGTGAAATTCGCCGGGTCGATAAAGGACTGGGCTTTCTGAACGAATGACGTCCACTGCATCATGGCGCTCAAGAAATTTGGTGCGGTGGCGTGAAATGAATGAACAGGCAGGTATCCTCCTGCGTCTGGGGTGAGTATCCGGCTGACGGCCGATTCGGACGGAAGCGGGAGCTGCTGGAGCTCAAGCGGCAGTCAGGGTTCGGCGAGGAAGATGCACAGAAGCCCACGAATGATTCACAAGAGGGATCAGGGTCATCGTAGAGAGCTAGCGCAACATCGTCCGGTGAGGGCTTCTGGCTGCGACAGACAGAAGAACCTGGGGCGATGACGGTTGGCATGGTAGGAAGAGGAGGGGAAGGTTGGCGGCGGCCGTTCCTGGCAGGCGGCCGTGAATATCCTCACGTGACAAGGGTCTGTCTTGCTCTGAAACATCCACGAGGCAGCCCCAGTGCAGCTACGTGCACCCCTGCTTTAGTGTGAGTGTTACTGTTGATGCACAGTGCTTCCGCTACGGAACAACTTATAACCATATTGGAACTACATAAGGAAACTAGTGAAGTCTGACTAGTAGCTTGGTACAGCCGACAGGGCAAAGCCGAGCGCGAACTATAAATCCCCGCAGAAAACCATGATCAAATGAAGATGAATTTGTAAAGAATTTTCGAGAAGAGAAAGAAAATTGAAACGAGGGTTCGCTTTACAGTATCACTTTGAATGAAACAAGGAAAAGTTCAAAGATGTATTTGTTTTTAATAAGGGGTGCCCCGAAAGTCTTGCCAAATCCATCTTTTTGTAGCAAAGGTCAAGAACGGTGCAGTATCTTAATGTGCGGTATGAAGGGGCAAAAGAGGGCAAATATTATTGTGGGTCGAATTAATTCTTGGCCGAAGATACTTCCTCAGCTACAGGCTCTTCATCACTGTACGCCGGGGGAAGTTCTTCAGACTCCATCATCAGACCCTGCTTTTCGGACACAGTGCCCTGTTCCAAAGACTTCTTGGGAGTAGAACGGCGGAAACGCTGCCACATGAAGACCACGATCTGGCCAACCAGCATACCAAGAGCGCTCGCGGCCAGACCAGCCAAAACACCCAGCACAGCGGGAACGACGATGAAACGGACCACGCGGTGGACGGTGCGTTCCCACTGGCCATGGTGCATGTGGTGCATGTGATGGTGATGGTGGGGGCGGTCAAACTTGTCCATGTGGCCGTGGAACCCAGCCTCCTCTCCCTCCATGGGCGGCATGGGCGGCATGCGCTCAGGGTCAAACTTGTCGTCGGGGTGGTGGTGGTGGTGATGGTGAGGCCGGGGCGGGGGAGGCAAGCCCAAACCGTGAGGACCACCGCAGCCCTTCGGCTTAGGTGCCATTCCAAGCATACGGGCCTTGGCCGCTGCGAACAAGGCGCGCATCCGGTCGAACAACAGCTTCCTCAGGCATTTCGGCTTTCCGCGGCATTGTTTCCAAGAGACGCGGTCGGGGGTCGCTTCTTCGATCTCAGTCTTGGCGATGTACAGCTCGCCGCTGCTAGGGTCATGGAGAAGCGTCAAAGCCACCGTATCCAAGGGGACCGGGCGACTGTCGAGGTCGAGGACAGTGAAACGCACAGCGACCAAATCCATAGGGTCCTCGGGTGGAGTAGGCAAGGGCATCTCCTCCACAGCGTATCCCAACGGGATGGGTTCCGTTTCTACGCCATCCGACGCCCGGCGCTGAACGGCAGTGATGAGAGTGGGAGGTGGCGGAGGGAAGATTTGACGACCGTTGGCCAGAAGGAAGCCATTTTCAGTGGAGAAGTCAACCAACTGCAGCGACTGTTAGCATCCATGTCCCTTCACTTTTCCGATGTCGTACTAGACACCGGCTCGGAACCACTTACCAAAGAGGTTTGGAAGCCGTCAGTCCAGCTGACCTTCCCATCCTCGCTGACTTCACGGAACGGACATTCGGTGCAGGCAAGCTCAACCTGCTCTTTCTTGGGAGCATAAACCTCCAAAGGATGGAGGGGAGGGAAGTTACCCTCAGGGGCGACGGCTTCCTCGACTTCGGGGATAACGAGGAAGGCGTTGGCGCCGAGAGCGAGAACGCTCCCCACAAGGCACGAACGGAGGTGCATGGTGGCCGAGGCGGATCTAAGCCAGGCACCGATAAGACGGGTGAAAAGGCGCTATAAATTAAGAACGATGAAAGGAAGGGATCGTTTGGCGATGGGAACAACAGTTATTGAGATGAAAAGCGGATGATATCCAGCTGTGAAAATAAGAAACAGATGAATGGGGGGAATGCTTTGATGATATGGATTCCACCAGCGAGCGCTTCTTTGCATAGCCAGCCAGGAGGGGGGTTCAAAGGCGAATCGCGCATCGCTCGATTTCTTTCCTGATTGGCTGTTGATGGCGCGCGGGTGGAGCAGGTGACGCATGAAATTCCCACCGCCTGCTTCTTTGAGAGCAGCTGACGCATCCGCTGCAAAATATTAGTCACGTGGTATGGATTCCTAAAATAGCCTTCAATCCCGTTCATTTCAATGTGGTCGATCAGCACCACAACTACTTTGTACGCATAAGCCATCTTGATTATCGTAGGCAAGACACGAGGCATGGATAGAAAACTCTGGAATATACTTCTTTTACTCCCTGAGATCGCATACCCGCTCTGTACCAGCAGACCGGTTTCATCCATCATCCCACTAGGCGAGATCTGATATTGACGAATCTTGCGAAAGTGTAATCCAAGCCCTGCATCGATCCTACAACAGGGGGTCCGCTGCCCCGGACTTTGGCCAAGACATCATCAGGTACCTCATTATATTGCATCCAGACCTCCTGCGTTCTATTCGTCTGTCCGAATAGATTTTCAACCACGGCCGTCAAAAGCATAAAAGCTCCCACTAAGAGCAAAGCCAACCGTGCCATTATGACAGCAGGTGGTATCGGTACTTGCTTTGGGACACTGACCTGAGGTTCCACGTACTCTGGTGCAGTTTGAGACTCCCACTGCGACTCCGACCCTGTGCTATCAGTCTTATCATCTTCAACAAATGCACCAGGGACTGTGAAATTGGCAAACTTCTTTCGTGTCGTTCGAATAGGTGGTACTGTCAATAAGGTCGACGGGTTATATCTCTTTTCCAGATATACTGGCCATGATTCGAATTTAGTCGGTGTACGTGTGAGGAATTTTTTTGGCTTTTCTTTGGACTGTGATTTGTTTGACTGCTTGACGCCGGTAACTATAGCCTTTGGTTGAGCCTTCGAGGGATCATTCGCTGCCTGTGCAGCAGCTTTCTGATAATCATGAATCCAACTGATCTGGGGGTCCGAAGACTGACTTCCAAAGCTCGTATTGCCTTGCGCGGTCAGAGCTTGGACAGTTCTCTTGAACAACTCTAACTGTTCTTGCTGACTCTGGTTCTGATTAGTCGCCTCCTGCAACATCTGCATATACTTTGAAAAAAGAGTTAAAAATGAGTTGTCTGAATTGGACCCAAGATTCTGCTGGTCGGCAGCAACACGCAGCCTCTTGATCGCCTCTTCCGAGCCATCAAAGCCCTGAAAAGCTTCCAATCCAGCAAAAGGTCGCTTCAGGCTGGAGCTAGGTACAGGGGCTTGTCCCACATGCGGAATGGCGCCGGTTTTGGCAGCCTGCTGGATATTGCTCCAGTCCACCGGAACCGCCTCAATGGGTGGCCTAAGGTTCTGAGCAGGGATCGCTGGCGCGCTGAAAATGCTGCTCATACTGCCTCCCTGGCCCACCGGTGTCGGGGCATCGCTACTTGCGGTGCTCTGCGATCCACTATATAAGCTACTTCCCAATTCCTGCCTCAGTGTCATGGATGGTTTCTGGATGTTGAAGAAGCCGAAGGGGTTGCTAGCAATTAGCTTATTCTGGTTGTAAGGAACCAAGGCGGTTGACATCGCGTTTGTAGGCTGTGCGACAGTATCTATTGACATCGCGGACTCATTCGTATACACCTGCTCAGCAAGCCTATTCAACTGCTTTCTTAATTCAGCATCGTTCCCTTTATATGTATCCATCGCCTTAGCAAGCTGCTTCTTCTCCGCTTCTTGCGCTGCCGATTCCGATTCCTTCGCCGCGAGCTTCTGCTTGAGTTCATTCAGTTCTCGACTTGCTTCAAGCATCTGCTGCTGTAATTTCTCATTCTCAACACGGCGAATGGCCTCCTCGTCTTTCAACTTCTTTTGCTCTTGACGAAGGCGATTGATCTGGCCACTTTGCGCATTGATCTTCGTACTAAGCATAGTATTTTCGCTGTAGGCGGCTTGGACATGCCCCTCGTTCGTCTTGACTTGGGATTCTATGGTTTTGAGATTTTTTTGGGTCTGTCGCAGCTCTTGTTCCGATTGCGCGAAGGCTTGTTCTCGCTCGACAAGCACTTGGTTCAAATCATGGACTTGGCTTGCTAGGTTCTTGTTCTCCCTTTCGAGCTCTAAGGCTTTGCGTTGTGCTTCTGTGAGTTGCTGGGTTATGTTGCCATTGTCCTGCGGCCATTCTTCGGGGTCGTTTTCGGATGCAGTTATTTGCTTATGTGCTCCTATAGGTATCCTCCGTTGGTCGGGTGGTCGTCTGCCTGACATTTTGGCGGGTGTGCAAAATTGGGAGTAAGGGAGAGGGTTCAGGGAATTTTTCGTAATCAGGAAGTAGAAGTGCCTTTGCTCGTGCTGGACGTGAGGCTAGATATTCGAGTACGATTTCATCAGAGAGTTAACGGTGTAGCAGGTAGTTCGCATTCCAGACTTTCATTCGTCTTGGGCTTAACAACTTGGGCTACCGGCATACTAATAAGCCAGCCCATTGTTGCTTTCATGCATTGGGTGGCTGCTCAGTGATTATCTTACGTTGAATGGTGCCGAAGCAAGGCATTGTCTTGAAACTGTAAATAGTCTTTATTATATGTCCCGATGAAACATGGAGTCTAAGTACAGAGCTGGAGCACACTGTGCCTTTGTTCCTTTCTTAAAGACTTCTTTATCTAGAGTATAGTATGTACCAACCCGGGGAACAAAGAGTACTCTCTATGGGAGATAGCAAACCAAGACAATGTCTCTCCTGTGCTCAGAAAGGAAGACAAAACTCTACAGCTTAGACTTCTTCTGGCCTTTGACGTTGGGGACGGGGTTGCCCGAAAGAAGGAAATCGGGATACGCAAGTTTACCCGATGTTGCCCCAGTGGTCGACATCCGCCAGGATGCGCCGTCAACTACAACGGTGTTAACATACTATTCTATGATGAATCTGAATAAATGAGACTCACCCACTAAAGTTTGGCCACTGACATAACTGCCAGTGTCCGCAAAGAGATATACGGTGGCATCTGCGATGTCGCGCACAGAGCCGACTCGGCCAAGCGGCTGTGACTTGATGTAAGTGTCCTTCGTATCACTAGGAAGGAGACGATCGAGGCCCTACGATAAAAGTTAGATGTGCGTATCTATACGAATATGAGGGACAAAGACAAACCTCTGTCGAAGCAATGGGTCCGGGCGCAATGATATTAGAAGTGACACCCAGAGGGCCAAACTCGATGGCCACACTGTGAGACAGCGCATCCACGCCTGCCTTGGCGACCGAGACGTGCGTCTGGAAAGGTGCCGTACGATAGTGGAGAGTGGCGCTAACAAAGATGATACGTCCTCCAGTTCCTGCTGCAGAGGGTTTGACTGATGATGGCCTGATGTTAGCCCTTACCGCGAATATCGCGATATCGTCCACTTACGAGATTCGGAGTCCATTCTGTGCTTCTTAGCCGACTCAACAAGGTATGGGATTGTCGCTTTGAGGGTGTTGTAGGATCCCAGAACGTCAATGTCGATGACCGATTTGAAAGCATTCGCTGAGAGCTGGTTGATCGAGGCTAGAAAGTTTCCGGCCGCCCCAGCACTGGGTAGTTTTAACCCAGTTTAGTAGAGTCCCAGCTAAAACCAAGTGACACTTACATGACATAGTCAATACCACCCAGCTCCTGAGCACAGCGATCTGCTGCAGCTTGAAGACTGTCCAACTTCCGTACATCCACTGCACCAATGCCAATGACCTTAGCACCCGGACGAGCAGTTGCAATGTCCTGGGCTGCTTTCTCGGTCTTTTCGACATTTCGGCCAATAATGCATGCATTGGCACCTAAATGAACCAGAGCACGAACCTGCGCGCTGCAAATGGTTCCTGCGCCTCCTGTACAGAAGACGACCTTGTTTGCTGCTGGTTGTCAGTGACCGCCAGAGCATGTGGTGACCGCCACGGGCCGACTCACTGAACAGGCCATCCTTCCACGTGTTACTTAGGTAGGCTTCTTTGGGGAGGGACATGGTAAAAATATTATGTAAATATATACACGGTATGTATGAGAAGGACGATCTTGTGAAGTCGCTGCTTGGCGATTTTCAGGTTACCCAGATAGTTGATATAATGGAAACCCCGGATGGTCGTTGGATGGAATCTCCGCAATCCGACGGTTACTCCGAGTCCAAGCCTCGGCTTCTCGTCTTGAATACTAATCGGATCTAAACTCTATTCGGTAGGTTAGTTCTGGGAGAATCCACTCTTTGTGCCTCCTTTAGGCTTAGTTCTGTGAGAGACATGACTTGAAAGAGCTAGCTGGAATAGGACTAGCTTCGGATGCGTCGCGGGATGTTAACAGCGAGCTGGTGATTGGCTGACATGTCTCCGTCAGCCTCAGGCATGCAACAACGTCACTTCTTCTGCCATCGCGAACTTTTCTATGGCCTTATCTTTGCACCCGCCTTGAAGTTCTAAGCGCACCACGCCTTCAATCAACAAATCATTCTATCAGGCGCCTCGAAAAGTGATTATACATCCTCCTTGGGTTAAATAAATCTTTCAAGTCACAACATTCCTGTTGCAGCATTGACTTCCGTCCCGCGATCACCATGGCGTGTCCCATCACTGTCTCGAAGTTCGTTGGCACAGTGTCCCTGGGACTGCTCACGGTATGATTTCTATGACCTGTTGCGAAGATCTTGAGCCTTCTCGGCTAGTTCTTATCAAAGCTGGTAAACCGCCAACTGACGCGCAATGTATCACCTCTAGGGCATGTCATACTCCGCTTCCAGTGTCGCCATCCCCTCCCTGAGTCTTCTTCCCACTGCTACCACTGCGTCCCGGTCCCTCAACGAGGTCAAGCGGTTGAACCGTAAACATGGTTTGCGACTGACCAATATCGCCAACGGATGTCTCCTATTCGCGTATAGCCTGTCTTCTAAACAGCGCAAGCACCCTTATCTGATCTGGATGTGCGTTACCTCGACCGTCGGCTCTTATGTTTTCGACTATTGGTTCCACGGCCAGGATGGCTTCGTAGCTTGGATTCAGTCCGTTCTGCAGGACACCGGATGTGGCTGCCTGACCGTCCAGAAGCAGAAGAAGGATGAGGACATCGTGGTGGTCGAGGCAGAGGAGAATGTCAACGGTGAAAGTGTGCAGAAGGAGATGAACACGGAGCGTCGATTCCAGCAGGTGCGAGCTGTCTTCTCTGGACTTGCACTTGCCATGGGTATCGTTGGGCTTTGGGGCGACCGTCGGCCTTCCATTTAATCCGAACCAACCCGGTATTGGATGAGGCGTGCATGATGAGTCCCACTGGGCTTCATTCTATCCACTCCCCTCCTTTGGTTCTTTGCTTCTATCTTCTCTTCCTGTCTTAACACCTTTGGTCATTTGTTCACGACCGCCACGATGCGTCTGTTGTATGTATACTGGGCTGGAGATTGTCTAGTGTACTTCCTATCTTTGATGATGAGCGTTCAATTTGGATCGGAGTTTGAGAGCTACTACCTATGTATTTGACTTTAATAAACCAATGACAAACAACCATATGAAGTATCAAGCCTGCCAACACTACAGACAATCCGAATATTATTAACATTATTATAACACACCAATTGAACGTCCTCCCCCACCCATTAAAATCAACACATAACAAACCCCATGACCAACCCCAACACAACCCACCCCATAACCCCAGCTCTATACCCCCTCCTTCCCAAACTCCCACTAGTACTCTCATCACCCCCTCCACTCCCACTTCCACCCTCACTCCCATTCCCACTTCCACTCACCCAAGGCTGCCCCGGCAACGTCTCATTACTCTCCCTCAACACCTCCCACCCCACCCACTCATTCTCCAACACCGCACAATCCACCCTCTCCTCACTCTCCCCAATAGCATTCGTCACCGATATCGGCAACTCAAACACCGTATAGTAATCCGTCCCCTCCCACCGGAAATTCTGATGCACGGAGACATTATAATCTCCCCGGGGGGATTTATCCCCGCCACTACCCACAAAACAAGCCGGCCAGATCCAGTTCACGTGCTTGACGGTGGACGAGGGCTCGAGGTCCAGCACGGGCCCCACGTAGGTGTTGTTGGCAGAGGGAGTGGTGCCGTTCGATATGGTGAGGTTTTTGTGAGTGCTTGTGGACGTGAGGAAGAGGTTGAGGCTGTGGAATGCGGTGGAGGAGGAGGAACTGGAAGAGGTGAGTTGGCCGTCGCCGGAGGTGTCGATGGCGATTTGGAGGGTGTCTGTGTTTTTTCTTATGTTTAGTTGGGTGGTGGGTGGTTTGGGGGTGGATGGATGGACATACCTCCTCCGAGGGGAGTATAGGGCTGTGGAGCATCGATGATGGCTAGGCCCGGGGTGTAGATTTGGCCGTTGATGATAGTGAAGTTCATGATTTGTGTATTTGTTGTACGATGGTTAGTACAGTGATACTTTTGGGTTCAGAGATATTTTATAAAAGCTACATGGTGGTGAAGGGGGTAAATTCTTTATTATCTATTTACTGCTTAATTGATGGACCCTGAGATTGATTTAATTTCCGAACCTCCGGGCGACCCCTCAGGGACTTGATTGCTTTTGCTTGCTTGCTCCCCACTTGGCTGTCAGACACCATCGGATTTAACCGAAATGAACGCTTAGTGGGGATTTCCAGGGACGAGAGGGTAATCTCGTATATTGGATGTTTTAATTTGTTTGCTCTTGGTGGTCTCGGTTATATACTGCATCCCCTGTCCACAAGCTAA